TCTACAGACTTTACATGGAAGGACTACAAAATACATGAGGGAAAAATGAAAACGAGATAGGAAAAATAGTCTTAGAACACAACCCATTAACATTTTCCCCTTGGTAAATTTCTGCCACTATTTTGGAAGAACAGAAGCCTCTCTTGGAAGAAGAAGAGGAAAATGTTTTCCACTTCAATCAAACATGTGATCATGCTTAGAAATCACCCAAGAGCATGTTTATACAACCAAGGTTCGATAATTCAAATCATTTCATACAAAATCTAAAATATACACATAATAGCATAAATGCACAAAATAAAGAATTGAAGTAAGGTTAGTGTGTTTATGAACACTAACCTTAAACACAAGGTTTAACAAGCTTAAATCAAACTCTTTAAGCCATTGCTTTGCCTTTCTCTTCGCTGGAAGGTTCTCCACCCTCTAAGTGTAAGAAACTCAAAATCAAAACAAAGAAAACAAATAACAGAAGAAATTGGAGCATGATTAAGCATGTATATGCTAAAAGAAAACTCTAAACCCAAAAATAATGAGGTTATCATGAAATCACTTACTTGACCCAAGTAGGAAAATCTCCAAATTTCTTGAAATTATATACTGATCACCTATTGTTTTAGGAACTTGCTCGCAAATTCTTGGAAATTGATCACCACCAAAAAACCTAACTATTCTGTAAAGCTTTAATCCTAGATTTTTCTTACTTAAATTCAAAGGTAAATGTAGTGAATTTGTGAAATTAATATGAAGTAGGAAGTTGAAGAACAATAAGAGACGAATTTAGAGAAAGGAAGGCTAAAGGGAAATGGGAAGAAGAAGAGTAAGACGTTGGATGGAATAAAAACGCAAAGTGAAGAAATGGGAACTTGAAGAAAAGGTTAGTTTGGTCTTTTCACAAAATTGGATGGCCTAGGAAAATTTGAATGTAAATTTTAATCTAAATTGGCTACAAATATTCTCCAACTTAAATTTCTTCAAATATTTTATTAAGCAACAACAAAATTCTCTTATTTTTACTGACTATAAAATACATTCCTCTAATTTTCCTTAATTAATTACCAACATTATCAAATTTAATCCATAACCAACTTTATGCGCCTCGTAATTTCTCCTTAATTAATCATCACAACTCCTTTACGTCAGCTACTCACTAATCTCTAAATTTCTCCAAAAAATATTCATTACTATGTTAATCATTTCTTACCCCCGTAAAAAATAACCATGCCCATGGCATTGCTCCGCAAGAATGTGATATAAAATTAATTCATATAATAATAATTTTTCCGGGACTAAAAAGTTAATACCGACTCCCCGGACCGATTAGTTACTAGATTCACAGCCGATAAACTACTATTTCAACAGCCAGGAAAAATAGGGCGTTAAGCGCGTCCATTTTGGTTTGGAAGTATAAAGGACATGAGCGTTGAACGATCAGTGCCGTGATTGTTGAACTAAGGAATTGAAGTAAAAGTTAGATATCCCGATACTTCCCATAGCATTAATTCTGTTCGAAGAAATTTTCTTAAATTACAACAGAAGAAAAGTTGAGTTTTAAATCATATGAGTAAGCAAATGAAATGTAAATTTGGGTGTGTAATTTCCGCATCGATGTTTCATGAAAATAAATAGTCCATGCTAAAAACACGAGAATAATTGCATAACAAACAACACAAAATAACAATAAAAAATATCCATGTAAAACGAGAATAATCATCAATAAACAACACAAAATAACAAAAACCATTTACTGAAGAAGTGGGGGCAGGCCCCCAAATGTCAGAATGAATTAAGTCAAAAGAACAGTGTGAAATAGAAACACTATTATTAAAAGATAAGGCAGGTTGTTTTGCAAGTTGACAATGTAAACAGTTAAATGATTCAAACTTTGTAGATCCTAACAATCCAGTAGAAATTAAAGGCTGAATTTTGCTACCTGAAGCATGACCAAGACGGAGATGCCATTGGTGAATAGAAGAGTTGGTGGTTGTAGCAGCAAAAAGAACTTTTTGGGGAAGATGAAGAGATTCAAGCTCAAATAATCGACCCACCCTGCAACCCTTCCCTAGAATCTGTCTCGGTTGTGGATCCTGAACCTGACAACCAAAAGGAGAAAAGTTGACATTTAGACCTGCTTCACATAACTGACCAACAGAGATAAGATTAAGGGCCAAGTTAGGAATATAGTAGGTTTCAGGAAGACTAAGATTGTCAGGAAGACTAAGATTGGAGCAGTGACCAGTGTGAGTAATATTCATTTGACTACCATTAGCAGTATGAATTGGTGGCAAGAAAGAGACAGGTGTGGTAGAAGACAAAAGGTTAATATCAGTCGTCATATGATTACAACATGCAGAATCAAAAAGCCAACAAGATTTACCCTGGGTAACAGACATGGCAGCAGGAGAATTGGAAGATATAACCTGTTTGAGTACTGCCTCAATATCACCTATGGTGAGAGTAGGAGAACATTCAGTGGCAGCAGCAGTGACTGATTTAAATCCAGGGTTCGAAAAATTCTTGGATTTAGAGACCCCACTCTTTTGTCGTGGAGGACGAGTTGGGCAATTTTCAAGAATATGACCAAGAGCATGACAATATCTGCATTCAACAGTAGGACAATTAGCAAAGACATGACCCATGTTATTACAATTCTTACAGATGTGGCTGCCACATTTTTGAAAGGATGGACGAGTAGTAGCAAGAGCTATTTTAGAATTCTGAGTTTTGTCAAGATTAAGGCGAGTTTCCTAAAAAATGATTTCTTATATAGCCATATCCAATGTAGGATGAGGGTGTCGATGTAGTAGAGAGGCTATGACAGTTTCATATTCAGGTCGAAGAGCCATGAGAACTTGAATAAGATGAAGATGATCTTCACTGATTTTTGCTTGAGATATTTGATTCCAAATCGGTTGAACTTGAAAAATGTATATCAAGCCCATAGTGATCCCCAATGTAGGAAGGGATGTCGGTGTAGTAGAGAGGGGCTCTCAACAAGCTTTCAATATTCCCAGGTCGAAGAGCATGAGAACTCTGAAATACAGATGAACGATGATCTTCACTGAATTGTTTTGCTTTGGGAGATATATTTTGAATTTCCAAAATACGGTTTTGGAACCTTGAGCAAGAAAATCATTCCACAGATTCGGGGTGGCATATTCTATGTTTCCTTGAGATTATGACGAAATAGAGTTGAAGTCCCACATTTGATCAGTAAATGAGCAGAGTTCCCTTAGTAGGTGTGTGAAGATATTAAGTGGGATCTTCATTTCGCCTTTATCTCGCGCATCAGGAATCTAAGTCGGCATCGGTTAATATCTTCCTTTTGCTAAGTGTCATAACTAGCAAATTAGGTAATGATGAAATAGATGGAAAAAGAACCTTACCTATTGAGATCTGAACGAAACCAAAGGATCTAATAGGATTCTTACTGATTTTTTTTTACGTATCAACACCATTTTCACATAAGGCTATGGCAGTACCAAATTAGTGGGCTAATTAATCATAAATTTGATCATACATCATATATAGGCTGTTTGGATGTGCATATTTATATGATCAAATTCTCGCGACGCTGAAGAGAAATCACAAATGGACGTGGCAAACTGCTTATATGAACTCCAATTGACACTACAGTTAGAAGCTTTTCATTCCTTGGAACCCACACAATTACATAGTATTTGAGGCACACTCGCGCTTCAAAGAAAACTGGTTTACAATATCTTGGTGGTCTTTTGCAATCTTTCAGATTAGTACCTCCACTTTGGGGAAGTGGAGGACCCAATTCAAAAAATAATATAATATATATATTTAACATGTATGTATGTATAGGCTTTGTCTGTATAAATCAATAATAGACCTATTAGCTAATATTCATGAATGGATATATTACTTTATACTTCTGTACATAAATATATTATAAGCATGAGGAGCTTGATAGGGTTGTGACCGTGTAGTCTTCAACGCATTTGAATAGAGAAGGAATTGGCCAGTAAAGTGATTGCCAGAATGCACAAGAAGCAGGAGTAAAGTGCCCAGGAATGCGCAGATAGGTCAGAACAGGTGCCAGGAAATGCTAGAGGACACGGAATGCACTGAAAATATAGCATGAAGCAGACTCGAAATTTGCATGGGAGCAGAAAGGTGCAGAGCAATTTGTCACTAGAAACGCTGCAGAGGCAGAAGGTGCAGGCAGAATAACCATGCTGCTGTAGAAATATGCCTGTAAGAGGCCATGGATATGCAAGAAAATATGGGCAGTAAAGTGCAGCAATGGTTGGGCCACATGGAGCCCGAAAGTTGCGGCAAGGAGAATGCATGAAATGCAGCCCCTTCTTTATGGAGCGCTTACGACTGATACCAAATGTTTACGTATCTAAGAAGGAATGTTTACGTTTTTTGTTAACAATGAAATCCAACATATTTTACAAATACATGAAGAACTCGAGAGAAAAGGGAGAAAGCAGGTAAAAAATATGCAAATGCTAGGAGGATTAAGGCCCTAAGAATTAAAGGTCTGAAATCAGGCTACAATTCGAGCCAAGTATCGTTCGGAAGCGCCTAGAAGTCCAGCCTAAGATGTATGCTAACATGGGATTACATGTGTACAATGAAATCACATATTTATACATGAAAAAACTAGAAAGAGAAAACTAAAATCAATGCTAGAATTAAGCCTAGAATTAAGGCTAGAATCAAGGCTACAATCGAGCCAAGTATCAAGCCTAGAGTCAAGCCTAAGATTATGCTAACATGGGATTACATGGTATTAAATATTATGTATGCTAACACCCACGTTCTTCGTTTTTAGCATTTTGTGGCTGTCGTTTTGTGATTTGGTGACAAAATGACTAGGTAATAGAAAATTGATTTTGTGATTTAAAAAAATATATATATCAGCTGGAAATCAAAACTCAGAAAACTACGACATAAAATAAAATAACAGAGAGTACGAAACGAAACTTCGCTTGTTGATCTGATAGACTCGTGCCGAATTAAGGAATTCCACAAATCGACACGTGTCAATTAGAAAGGTCATACTGTCTGATCCAAGACGTCTAACGGCTACTCAAGTAGAGCTTGCTTAGGCGATTCCAATTCCTATTCCGATCCCGATCTTAATACGTAGATTAGATACACGTAAAAGCATACTGTAGTAGTAAAATAATGGTCTTTGTGTGCAGTGTTCATTGAAGAACGTGCAAAAAAATCGACTGATCTCTCAATTTTCGTAGCAATCAATATGGAGTGTGGACTTTGTTGTCCATCTTAGCTCTTTTTCTCTGATTTCTGTATCCATTTCGCCTCTTCCCAACCTCAGCTTCCAAAGTTATTCACTTTTTTTAGGCCTTTCGTTACCCAGAAAACCTTTCTGTCTCTGCTCCCCTCTATAAGACGAAGAGGAAGAAGATCATCGCCCGAAGACTGACCCTAATTGGCCCTTTTTTGTTGTGTCGGGACATGTTCTTTATTTGTCATTATCTCATAGAAGTGTCTGTATCATCTATTCTTTCTGGACTTTGTTGTTACCTGTACCAACCCCTGCTTTTGTTTCTTTCTTTTATACTCCAGTCGTTTTTGGCTTGTTCCGTTGTTTTTTAGTTTATTTCCTTCCTTCTTTTGAAACATATTTGACCTGTTGGTCCTATCTTTAAGAGGCAGTGATCACTACTTCCACTTTGCTTTTCATGATCTTTCCCTATATTTGTTTTTCTCTTTGGTACTCTTTGAATGTTTAGATCTTCAGGTCTCATGTTTTGCTGTTTTTACTAGCTGCAACAACTCTGCTTTTTCTGCGCCAAACTTCGCCATTGTTGTGAACAATCAAGTGCTCGATTCGATTCTCATCTAAAGTTAGTATTTTTTTTTTGCGAAAGTTTTGATTTTCTTTCTTCTTCTATTTGTAAGTTCGATATACCTGATTTAGAAGTCATTACTTTTATTAATATTATTTTTAATAAGTTTTTATGCACATTGAGTTCCTATTTTTTCCTCTTTTTCTTTATTTATTTAAGTGGGAATCTGGATTTTTGGTTCATAGCTTCTTTTTTTTTTTTTTTTTTTTTTTTTTTTTTTTTTTTTTTTTTTACAGAGTGATAATATAGGCAGTGCATTTTACGTTTCTAGTCTATGTATATAATATAACTAATGCTCTCTCTAACATGAACGTTGTATATCTTTATGACACACTCATCATAAGTAGTATCCAGATATCCTAGGATAATAAACACATTATTAATTCCTCTTTTTCTTTATTCTATTTAAGTGCGGAATCTGGGGGTGATTTTTGGATCTGTCATAGCATTCTCCATTTATTTGTTGTTTTTTGTTTTTTCTACTATTTTTCTTTCTTTTTTTAGATTTTTTTTTTTTTGTGGAACTTTGGAAGCAAGGCTTACAGCGCATTTTGTGCAGTGTGAAGGTGTTTTTTCCGATGGATAAATCAGTGCAGAAAAGGTCGAAAGAGTTGGTAACAGTTAGCATGGTTGGAGATAGAAATCCACAACCCGGCAGGAGAACTGCCTAAATAATTTTTTTTTTTTTTTTTTTTTTTTTTTTTTTTTTTTTTTTTGTGGAACTCTTGGAAGCAAGGCTAACGATTTGTGCAGGTGAAGGGTTTCGATGGATAATCCAGAAAAAGGTCGAAAAGGTGGTAACATTAGCATGTTGGAGAAGAAGTCCACCAACGGAGGAGAAGTGCTAATAACAATCTCAAATGAAGAAAAACCAAATGCCAATGCAACCCCAAAAGGCTTAACCTCACCAAAAGACCAAGAAATTCTTGGTTCTAGGCAGAGCAGGCCAAACTCACCCGTGCAAGAATCAAATGCTTTTGGGTTTATAAAATCAATGCCAATTAGCTACCCTTCACCAGAAATTTCACGTTTTAGCCCTAGCCCCAATAAGCCCCCCAAAGTCCCTGCAAGCAATGAGAACTTTACTAGAAGAAGGTCCCTAACCAGGTCCGTGTACTCAAAACCCAAGTCAAGATTTGGAGAACAGCCATATCCTATTGATGATGCTATGTTTGAAGAAGATAGTTTAACTTTGCAAGAACAATTTTCTAGGAATTCCCCCTATAGGAACTCACTTAGTAGGGGTTCGCCAAATAATAAGTCTGCTTCTACTATTAGGACAAACTCCATAACTCCAAAAACTCCTTTGATGGCATCTCCTGGAGGACCTGCAGATGATGAGGATGAGTTGGATGAGGTTGTCAAGAAGGTTGAATTGAGTCAAGAGAAGCATAAGAGGATAAGAGTAAAGCTTGTGATTCAGTGGGTAGCGTTTGTGTGCATTGTGGGGTGCCTGGTAGCAGGCTTGACTGTTGAGAAACTCGAGAAGACCATGATTTGGGGCTTAGATTTTTGGAAATGGTCTGTGCTTGTAATGGTAACATTCTCTGGCATGTCAATCACTAATTGGTTTATGCATTTTATTGTTTTCTTGATTGAGAGGAATTTTTTGCTGAGGAAGAAGGTACTTTATTTTGTTTATGGGTTGAAGAAGAGTGTTCAAGTGTTTATGTGGATAGGTTTGGTTCTTCTCGCTTGGGCATTTTTATTCAACCGTGGAGTTGAGCGATCTAAGACTGCTACCAAGATTCTGAATTATGTAACCTGGACCCTCATTTCACTTCTTATTGGTTCATTTTTGTGGCTGCTGAAAACTTTATTGCTAAAGATCTTAGCATCTAATTTCCATGTTACCAAGTTCTTTGACAGAATTCAAGAATCAGTTTTTCATCAGTATGTTCTGCAAACTCTTTCAGGGCCTCCGCTCATAGAGGAGGCTGAAAGGGTTGGGAGATCAGCTAGCACAGGTCAACTGAGCTTCAGGAGTACCAAAAAGGGCAAAGAAACAAAGGAGAAAAAGGTGATTGATATGGGAATGCTTCATAAGATAAAGCAAGAAAAGGTTTCAGCTTGGACTATGAAGGTTTTGGTTGATGCAATCACCAATTCAGGGCTATCTACAATATCTAATACATTGGATGAAAGCATTGGTGGAGCAGGTGAACAAACTGATTCAGAGATTACTAATGAGATGGAGGCAACTGCTGCTGCCTATCACATTTTCAGAAATGTAGCCAAACCTGGTTGGAAGTGAGAAAATCTCTATTTCCAGATGATTTGATGTTCCTATGTTGTTTTGCTCTTTATTTGTTTTTTTTCTTTTATATAAATAGGTACATCGATGAGGAGGACCTGTTAAGGTTCATGATTAAGGAGGAAGTGGATCTTGTTTTTCCGCTGTTTGAAGTATCTGAAACTAGACAAATTGAGAGAAAAGCTCTGACAGACTGGGTGGTAAAGTCCGTCCCCCCCCCCCCCCGTGTTTTAGGATTACGATGATATAGGAGGAAGTTTGGTATCTTCTGGTTTTTTCCGCTGGTTTGAAAGTAATCTGAACTCAGACCAGGGTTGAGAGAAGATAAACGCTCTGACAGGACTGGGGTGGTAAAGTCCGTAGCCGGCCACCCCCCCTATTGAGCACCATAAATTCCTGTTTGGCTTCCCCCCCCCCCCCTATTGCAACCATAAATTCATGTGCCTTAGCATTAATTTCTGATTGTTAGTGTGCACTTGGCAAACAGTTATATTACTTAGGGGAGCATAATAGGTTGCTGTGATTCATTACTAAGATGCAGGGGAAGAAAATAGATCATGTGAACTTAAAATGACTTGCTTGAAAATTTTGTAATCAATTGTAAAACCTCACTATCTCTTTGACCTATTCCTCTTGAATCCCATGCTTTCTGTAAATCTTGAAAGGAAAGATGCAGTGCCATTGTCTAGAGCAATGGTTACAGGCTTAGGCCTGCAAGCAAGAGGCTGCATCTTGAAGGTCTGTGAATTTCATGCGAAAAAAACAAGCTGATAAGGACCATCTCTAGATTCCCCTTCCCAGGCCCTAGTTCAATGGGAAAATAACTGGTATTGCCTTTTTGTAGAGGAAAATATATTTTGACTTATTTTATGGATCTAGCAATTCTTCTTCAATACCATTTCTTAATCATGATGTGCTGTGGTCGATATACGGTTAAGTTTTTTGAAAATTTGATATGATGATGGAGCTTCATTTTAGCACAAAACTAACTATTTGATAAAAGTGAAGGTTCTTTCTTGCATATGATTGATTCTTCCATTTTAACAGGTGAAGGTTTACAAGGGCCGGAAAGCACTTGCGCATGCTTTAAGTGATACAAAAACAGCAGTCAAACAGCTGAACAAACTTGTGACAGTTATCCTTGTTGTTGTGACTGTTATTATTTGGCTTCTTTTGATGGGAATTGCAACAACAAAAGTAATTGTCGTCCTCTCATCGCAGCTTGTTGTGGCAGCTTTTATATTCGGGAATACATGCAAGACCATGTTTGAAGCTATTATTTTTGTTTTTGTGATGCATCCATTTGATGTCGGTGATCGTTGTGTTGTTGATGGTGTGCCGGTAATACTCTGAAGAGCAAGACTTTTCTTCTTCCTGCTTTTACTATTTTTTGAGGCTAAGAAATCTTCATGAACTCTATCTAAATTGAAACTCTGCAGTTGTTGGTCGAGGAAATGAACATCTTAACTACAGTTTTCTTGAAGCTTGATAATGAAAAGATATACTATCCAAATTCTGTTTTGGCTACAAAGCCGATCAGCAACTATTACCGAAGCCCTGACATGGGTGATTCTGTGGAGTTCTCAATAGATTTTTCAACCCCAACGGAGAAGATTGGCTTGCTGAAAGATAAAATTAAGAAGTAAGATGACTGTAGCTTTATTCTTTCTGTCACTTTGCATCATGCAATAAGCAATTAAGGAAGGGCACGGTCGTGGATGTTGTAATGTGTATTTAGTGCTTACCTAATCACCATTTTTATCTTTTATTCAAAAATACTTCTGGGTAAATCAAATAACAAACATGCACAGTGTGAATTGAACTTGTGAGTTAGCAGTTAAAGTAAAACGCAAAGAGGAGAAATATTGAGTGAAATGTTGTTAATGATAAACATTTTTTGAGAAAGAGATGTATCTTTGTCTTCTTTTTTATGCTTTTTCAATGGCTTGCTCTCCTTTTGTCAGGTTCTTGGAGAAGAATCCCCAACACTGGCATCCCAACCATAGTGTTGTGGTAAAAGAAATTGAGAATGTGAATAAGTTAAAAATGGCACTCTATTGTAGTCACACAATGAATTTCCAAGAATTTGGAGAGAAGAACAAGCGACGAACTGAACTAGTTCTTGAGATAAAGAAGATTTTTGAAGAGCTAAATATTAGATACTATCTTCTGCCTCAACAAGTTCACCTGAGCCATATTGGGTCAGAATCAACCATTGTGACCGGCCGGTGATTGTTGCTCTGCAAGTATGTTCCCATTCTTCCCCCTTTATGCTTAGGCATGGGATTAAGAAAAAAGAGATTCAGCATTATCATTTTCTGTATTCTTAAGAGTGCCCTTTTAACATCTTAGATTTTGGGTTACCAGCAGCAATTGTAACTGATATAATTAATGGCCATGTCATCACCTGGAAGGGAATGCTAGTTCTTGGCTACAAGTAACTAATGCCTGAAGTACAAGTCATTATATTGCACTATCGAAGATGTGGCCACAGGATGTAAATTTTGAGCCCATTATATAAACAGAAATGGCAGTTTGTGTTGCAGTCCAACTTTATGTCTATGGTCAAAATTAGATTCACCTTATTCTAATAGTAATGTATAATAATTTTTCTTTATCCTTTAGATTTACTATACTTGGCCCTAAACTTCTGCACTGATGGAAATGCTTCAGTATCAATACAGATGACAGATGGTGGTGTACTGAATGCTAGAGAACTTGTTCTAAGCATCTCTTCAAAGGCAAGCTTAAATATGGAGAATAGATATATCGATGCTGCATTAAATAGTATATTTCTCTTAGGATGTTTAAACCTATGAATCTTTTACTAAAATTTTGTGTTTCCTATGTTGTTAACTGTTAATTCTTTTGCATGAAACTGTTGTTATATGGTCTTTTGTTTAGGTTAAGCTTTGGTGTTTCTGTGTAAAGCTAAGAAGTCCATAGCTGGGTATGCTTACCTTGCGTTTTTTATGTATTTTTGCTTTGGGTCATGCCAGCAGGAACTGTTACATGTTATATCCCAACCTGCTTGGGCTTGTTTCCTAAAAATTGCCTTGGCCTAGTTGGATTTCTGTACAGCATTTTACTTCAGATGGCTTTAAAGTGGTCCTAATGGATACTGGACTGTTTTCTTATCTGAAAATCATCTAACCTAATCTAATCTATTTGAACAATAATGCATGTCTCCCACCTGATAACTGCTTAATTAAGCTTCACTAAAAATCCATTTCCATGCCAATCAAGCTAAGTAAGATGGATTACCTTATCTTACGAATCCAATTCAGATTAGCCACGTAGGATTCCCATAAAACTGACACACAATCCAAAATCTTTTTTATCCCTATTTATTCCATTTCTTTATCCAAAATCCTCTTAGTAAGGAAGAACATAGTACAAACAAGCATACCCAAAATGATCTTAGTTTCAATGACTATGCCACTAACACCAGCAACCCAGAGAAGGCTAAAAGAACAATTGAACTCCCACTTCTTCTTTCAGCCGCTGCCAGTAAGGCGATCAGAGGCTGTTTTCTCCACAAAGAAGACGTCTGGAGACTGGCGAGTTGAAGTGCAAGCTTCTTTAAAAACGAAGGCAGTGAAAGGACTAACAGCAGCTGCATTAACAGCTTCTGCGGTGATACCAGATATAGCAGAAGCAGCAGGACCTGGTCTTACTCCATCTCTCAAAAACTTCTTGCTTAGCATAGTAGCTGCTGGAGCTGTTCTTGGTGTCCTTCTTGGTGCAGTTATTGGAGTTGCCAAATTTGATCCTGTTAAGAGAAGCTGAACTATGTATCTCTATAGAATACTGAAATTTTCTTTAAGAATCATGTCAATTAGCAGTTAATACGCTGCTTGGCTTTTAGAAAAAAAATGTAATATATGAATGGAGGAATGCCTCATAAAATGATTAAAGATTTAAACGAAGCTTTCATGTGTTTTTGAGTACAGATCAAGTCCTATGAACAGCCCAATGAAACTAACATATTCAGTATAGTTAAGAACAAAAGCAGGTTTTAACAATTGATTGGTTTCTTTGGATACATTTGAAATACTAAATATATAGATATATTTCTCTCTATACAGCAATTCCCCCCAATAGCTCCTTGATGACTCAATTTCTGTAAGCCAGTCCATGCCCTGGAATAAATCTTGCATCATCCTCAGTGTAGACATGGGTCTCATTTAACAGCCTGAATATTAAACAAACAAATCAAAATTCTTAATTACCAAGTGATATATAATAATTTGATAATATAATAAAGCAAAAAGAGAGAACTTACGATTGAGAGACAGTCTTGTTCAAGGTGGTGGAGGAAAGAAATGCAGCTCCATTTAAATAAAGCAATTCACCCTGAATTCTTTCTTCAATCCTCCTGTCTATCTCCTCAGCATCTATACAGAAAGGTTGGTCTGAGGCCTACATATATTTTATATTTTGCCATATTAATTAATTAGCACACATTATTAAATAAATACAGTTATTATAAGTTCTGATAAAATTAACTGTATATGGAAAATTAAGTTGCATTTGCCTACCATTACCCATCCCCATGTATCAGCAAAAGATGGCACGTGAGCACTGTATGCAACCACATCTGCCCACATAAAAAAGAGATTAATTAGTGTAGTTAATTAATAAATTAAGAGTATACTCATTATTTTAATTATTTGACACTTACATTTGAAGACCTGTTTAATTGTGTTGTATATAGAGGAGAATACCTCCTTGTGGGTGAAAATGCCTGCTGGCCCAGCCTGCATGATAATAAAAGTACGGGGTAAAGTACTCCGTGAGTATTTGCTTCATCCATGAGTATCGAACCATTAACCTCAACCTCAATTCTAGCGTGAAAACATATGTGTGAACCATGAAAATAAATAAATAGCATAAAATGTTACCTGAGTGACAAAAATGCCATTATCACTGAGCTTAGGCTTTAGTATTCTCTGATAGAAAGATTTAGTGTAGAGCTGATAGCAGGGCCCTCCTTCAACTGGATCAGCCAAGTCTCCAATTATTATATCAAATTTGTCATTTCTCTTCTCTAACTCAGCCCTTTAAACGCAAGTAATTAATATGTTAAAATACATAATAGAGATCAAACAACAAAAAAAGACTAGCTAATAAATTAAAAGAAATGAAACTTACTTGGCGTCATTAATTACTAGATTAAGCTTTTTGTGACAAAATGCCTGTTGATTTACAGTGAGATGTCTACGGCAGAAATCAACCACTTCTTGATCAATATCACACATCACCACCTTTTCTATTGACTTGTGCTTAAGTGCTTCTCTTGCAGCTGATCCTTCCCCACCTCCCATTATGAAAACTTTTTTAGGCCTGTTTAATATATAATTCTTTAACATTAGCTTTTCAAATTTTTAGATACTCATATTTAATTAAATAAATTTATTAATTTCAAGAATCTTTAATATGTGTTATTTGATTTTATTATTGTAGCATATGGATAATTTAATATATATTTATTAATAAAAAAACTAATTAAAAATTATGGTTTATTTTATACGCTAATTGTATTTTATTAATTTTTGCAAAAGTAAAATTTACTAGCAGATATGAAAGAGGTTTAATTATGGTAAGGATTTATGACAATCCCATTTGAATTTATTTTAATTAGTCATGAAAAATGTGATTACAGCAGCCATAAATTCCAGTTGTAATTAAATATTTTCAATATTTAATTTGGCAAAATAATGGAAATATTAAAATATTGAAAGTGATTATAAGTTATAATATAAAGCAACACCAAGCAATGTGTTGGAGGTGATTGCAAGTAATAATAATTATTAAAAAAAAAAAAAAAAAACAGTGACAATCCCATTTAGAATTTTTATTTTAATAGTCATGAAAAATGTGATTACAGCAGCCATAAATTCCATGTCTGCTAAGTTAAATATTGTTCAATATTTATTTGTGCAAAATAATGAAATATTAAAATATTGAAAGGATTATAAGTTTATTTAAATAGTAACGAGCATACGACCAAGCAATTGTGTTGAGGTGATTGCAAGTAATAATAAATTATAAAAAAAAAAAAAAAAAAACTCACTTGGGTGGCATTGAAAAGCAGGATGAATTAAGCATCATGATTAAATAAACTCAGTCCGCTTCAGCACTCTTGCAATCTTCCCATCAATCAACCAATACCTATAAATTCCCAATATCCCACCCAAATTTTTTTTCAAAAAAAAAAAAAAGAATTATTAGATATATTTATTTGATTGTTTGGATAATAATATATAATGTAAAGTATATATATATATATATTAATATATATATATATAAATAGTATAGGTATATACATATATAATACAAAAATTAAAATAAAATAAGGAATATATTTCCAGACCTTGCCAAAGCGTTTTGTGTCCAAGAGAGCCAATGTCTTTGAAACTCACTGTTCCCTTTATGTAGCACACCATATTTATTAGTTCAATATATATAATACAAAAATAAAATAAAATAAGGAATATATTTCCAGACCTTGCCAAAGCGTTTTGTGTCCAAGAGAGCAATGTCTTGAAACTCACTAGTTCCTTTATGTAGCACACTATTTATATCAAAATATTGTAAAATAACGAATTGAAATAAGATTAGTTTTATAAAAAAAAAAGTTAACGAAAAAAATGAGTTATCAGTAAAATAATTAATAAAAGATAAAGAAAAATAAGAGTACCTGTTCAAGGCAAAAGACCATTTGAGGTCATCATCAATGGTTTCTTCGTACCAAGAAGAATCATCAAGACTAATAATATTATTATTATTAGTAGTAGTATCATTGCAGAGTTTAGAGAAACCATTTGTGAAGATGATTTCAACAGCCTCACCCATAGATGTTATAGCTAAATCCAAGTCGTCCAACTACTCAATCAAGAAGGAAAGAAAGAAAGGATACGAAATTGGAAAATGGGGTGGAAATGTCTGAACAAGATATCCCATATTTATAGATAGTGAGCTCCAAAAAGCGATGAATCAAAGAAAATAAGTAAGTTGAGTTGGCGATGAGCAACTCGTAAAAAAATAGTAGGAAAAAGGGCAGTCCGCGTGGGATATGGTGGGACCCATCTGTACTGTTATACTCAGGTGATTAGTGGCACGTGGACAATGTGGAATGACACTTGGCCATCTACTGTTGGATAGTGAAGGTTTCTGTAGGGACAGAGACAGACGTGTCTATTTGGAGAGTTTTTTATTCTTCTTTTGTTAATTAGAACCCGACACAATTTTAAGTGCACCTCCATACCATACATGGGGTTAAAACTTACAACTCACTATTATTTTTTTAAATTAAGGTTAGGATATGTAATTTGTTTTTTCTTTTTTAAATCAGGAGACTTAATCTCTTAAAACTGTGCACCTTTTAACGATCGAATTTGTATTTTCATCCGTATGAAAATTGAAGTTACTTATAACTCCAAACAATATCTTATTGATAATATAGTGATCTTTTTTTAAAAATCTCTCAAAACTCTCTCAATATTAGCAACTTTAAATTTTTTTTAAAAAAAAATTTATAAGTAAAGTTTGTCTAAAGCTAAGAATGCATGAAAGTGTAATAAGTTAATAGAAAGATATATATTCAAATGCTTTGAATATAGTCAAGAAAATAATGGCAAGATTTTTTTTTTTTTTCATCAAGTGAAGATTTTCCTAGAGACAAAATATCTCTTTTATGGATAAAAATGTTTAAAAAAAAAAAAGGATTTTGTGCGGGTGTGAGTGGATTGTATAATATCCAATAGTCCAGTGGAATGCAAAATAGCCAAATACTTTATTATGTAGTTTGTTTCTCGTATAAAAATTAAAGATGTCATGAGATTTTTTTATGTAAAGTATGAGAGTGAATTCATGTATTTAGATTATTTTTTTTCTCTCATCAAATCATGATTTTCTAGGAAACAAAAGATCCCTTTTATGGCTAAAAATGTTTAAATCACAATAAAAAGAACTGGATTTTTTTGGTTGAGTGGGATGAACCATATCCAATGGTCCAGTGGAATGTAAAATGGCGAAATGCCTTATTAAGCAACTATATATTGCACTAGCATACCATACAAAGGAAAGGAAGAAGAAGAGGGGGATGAAGATGGTGGTGGGATAAAGTGGGTCCCAGGAAAAAAGTGTGTAGTGCTGGGCGTGGAGAGAGTCCACTAACACTAGGAGGGTGGGAGTGGAGAGGCCACTCCATCGTATCCCCATGTCTTTGCGTGCATATATTGTCCTTTTCATGCTTTCTCGACTTCTAATTGCCATTTTCTTTTATGTCTAATAATGATTCCCAAAAACAAATTTATTGGACAGTTTATATTCCAAAATCTATTTAATTAGCTTAATGCCATTTCTAATAGATTTTCAAATAAGTAATAATTAATTAGCAGAAAAACTCTCTTTCCTTTTTAGCTAATTTTGATTTTAATTTGAGGCTGCTGTTGTTGGTTATTATAACCTCAACCTTCTAATCTTTCCTTCGAATCAACTTCTACTCTTTCTCTCTTTTAATCTGTTAATCATTTTTAATAAACTCAATTTTGTTTATCTTATAATAGATCTGTTTTGGTTTTTGTTATTATGGTTTTGTCTCCATATTTGAATTTTTTGTCCCTTTTCTGTGAGGATTTTATCCCTTTTTTATAAGAGTTTAATATAAATAAAAGTATAATATTTGATTTTATTTGACTGGAGACCTTTGATATTAATTTGCAGATATAGATCTTTAATCAATAGAACCTGATAGGCTGATAGTGCGGCATTTTCCTTTAATGTTATTGATGTATAATAGCAGAAACTTATACGTGTAAGTTATATATATGTTGCAAGTTCTTGTAAAAACAATTCAGATTAGAAGATTAAGAGGAGTTATTAGTTTGAAGTCCAAATCAATTAAAGTACTAGTTGCTAGTATGAATATTTAAATTTTTTGTTAAGATCATTTTCAAGCGGAAGAATATAATAATATCTCTTTTATTTTTAATATTGTCATTGAAAAGAATATATTTATTGAAATATGAATAAACTCTATTCACTTTCGATAGTAAATTTATTTTTCCGATATGTATGAGTATATGTAATGATTGATATTATAATTAATGAATTATATTTAAAAGAAGCAATAGTGCAATAACTAATCACATGTAAGACAGTTTTACAACTTTTAATTACGTCATCAAATAATGTAATTTGCTAATTTTTTATCATTAACATAAATTGATAATAAAAAGAATTTCAGATTTCGTCAATCAAAACAACATAAGACTTAGTCTCAACATTTTTAAGTCACTTTAGGCGTAAATATTGACTTTGATGCATGTTAAACTGGGAATGCCTCGTGACCTACGGTTCAGTCATAGAAAGTCACTTGACCTAAAATGTCAAAGGGTAGTCCAAAGATCTCCAATTGGCACTTTCAACGACCATGACATTGGAAATCTTTAATAAATTAAATCCTCTTGGATAACAACTTTTGAAATAATATATTATCCGTGAACACAGCATCTATTATAGCGTTTGAAAATTGAAAAAATATTTCATGAAATACTGTTCCTCATAAATGTTTTGCGTTTAAAAAGTAATTAATTGAACTTCTTAAAATTATTTTATATTTAGTAACTAATTAAATAATTATTTTTATTGAATATCTTGTTTGAGAAAATTGAATATATTTACTTTAAACTACCTTGTAAACAACTAATTACCAACGACTGATGCTTAACGGTTAATCGTATACAACAACTAGCATCTTTTAATCTTAAACCTCAGTTGTCTCTATATTTTTTGTGTTTTATAATCTCGAAATTTTAAATTGTTGGGGTGATAGAGAAGTCATTATGGAATTAAAGTGGTAAAAAAAAAAAAAAAAAAAAAAAAATTTATAATCTCGAAATTTTAAATTTGTTGGGGTGATAGAGAAGTTCATTAGGAATTAAAAGTGGTAAAAAAAAAAAAAAAAAAAAAAAGGAAAAGGATGAGCCCTTTCATAGTATGGGAGACAAGAGTACAACAAATATTAAATCCATCCATAAGGTGTTATGGTCCATTATTTCAATTGTAAGGGCGGCTTAACCATCATTTTCAAACACCTTTGTGTCATTTTTTTTTTTTTTTTAAATAATTTTCAAAAAGCTCAATCCCTCCCTTTTAATATATATATATATATATATATATATATATATATATATCCCCATTATAAGTCAATGGGTTTAATAATCTTAAGAGAACGACATCTCAAAGAGGGTCAAGAATCCTTTTTCCATGCTTCTTGTCCTTATTTTCATTTTCAGTTTCCACATTAATGCCTATGTTTAACAAGTTTCCAACATCTAATGATGATTTCTGCCGTTTTAATAATTATTATTCGAGAAAAATTATGATTGTTACTTCAAATTCTCTCTCAACCACTGCATCTAATGATCTTTTCCAATTTCAGCTAATTGGATTTTTCATCGGTCTTTCTTGTATATATTCTACTATTTTTTACATATTAGAGATTTTATTTCTCTCTTATTTAATAAAATATACATTTTCACAAATACGTGCAGAATTTGTATTTACGAAATATAAGTTTGTATTTTCTATTTAAAAAAGAAAATGCTAAGCTCCATTGCTATATGCTTGTAAGACAGAAGGGAAGCACACATCGTAAAACCCGGTTTTGTTGCATCGAACTTTACCATTAGGCTGAAAATTAGTATTATTATTATTTTTTTTTTTTTTGGAGAAATAAATTTATCCTAACTTACTCCTCTATCACTGGGATTTGCTCCCTCCCATTTAGACACCCTTCAATGTCCAATATTTATTATCAAATAGCGAACTTAAACTATTTATTAACTATGATTTTAAGAATGGAAAATTGTTTAAGCTTTTGACAAAAAAAAAAAAAAAAAGGGGGAAGAAAAAAAAAAAAAAAAAAAAGGGTAAATTTTTAAGATGATTAACCATCATGGATTCCATAAGAACAAAGCAAAATAATAGTTGCCTCCCACTAAAGCCACTCATATCCCATAGAACAAATCACACAAAAAATAAATAAATAAATAAATTTAACAATGAAAGTTGGGGACAAAGCACAAGTCCATTTCAATTCAAGCTTTAGAGGCTGTGGGTTTCTTGGTGCTCCAAAAATTTCATTTTTTGGGCACTCAAAATGTCCTAAAAAGCATGGAGCTCTCAAGTGATATGCCACACGTGCAGATATTACTTGAATATGACATTGAACAATCCAAATTAAAATAAAAAAAATCAACCCAAAAAAACAAAAAAAAAAAAAAAAAAAGGTTCAAGCTTTCCTAGGAAACCAAGTGGCTTGATTTGCAATCCTAATGGTAATATAAGCAAGTGAAAGTGAAAGTGAAAGTGGAAGGGACAAATCTAAAATTGGCTTTCCATTGTATGATTAATTGCAAATTGTATCATGACTCATACCTTAAAATTGCAATACAGATTTTCATTTAGTCAAAACCCAAAAGAAATCTTATCGTTTCTAAAAAAATTATATAGTGCTCCACCAAAGAGAAAAGGTTTAATATAGGTCAATCCCAAAAGCGATCTTATCGATTATTGTGAAGAAATTATTGATGGTATGGTTCTACCGACAACACAACAAGAATAGGTGGATGCCTAAATTGACATTTTTGATTTGCGTTTTGCTACTACACAGCACAGTACACAGTCACTAACCATCAAATATTCACAATATCTTATTGTAACCAGTTGCCACTGACCACTAGCACGCATGCTCCTCTAGCCCTTCTTTTCGGCTAACATAGACGTGAATTGAAATCCACAATAATAAACAAAATAATTAAAAATATAAATATACTAATGGGTAGAACCGTGGAAGTTTTTTCTTTCCCTTTCTTTTCTTTTCTTTTTTTTTTTTTTTTTTTTTTTTTTTGCTTTTCTTTTTTTTTTTTTTTTTTTTTTTTTAATAAAGGTGACAGTATGCGAAATTTTTTATTTTTGTGAGTGAGAAGTAATTCATTGAATTATCCGTATTTTTAAATTTCGTATCTACATAATCTAAACTCTGATGATTCAAAAAGGATAGTACAACTTAAAAGTGTTTTTTAAAAGAGGCATCCACCGAATTAGAAAGTGGATTTGATTTACTGTTATTTGAACTGTTTGGCATTTTCAGAACAGAAGCTGCTATGGTTGTCTATTTGGTGCTAACACGCATCGGGCTTAGCTGAAAAATTAGAACTAGCCCGTTTTTTTTTTTTTTTTTTTTTTTAATAAAGGGACAGTATGCGAAATTTTTATTTTTGAGTGAGAAGTAATTCTATTGAATTATCGTATTTTTAAATTTTCGTATCTACATAATCTAAACTCTGATGATTCAAAAAGGATAGTACAACTTAAAAGTGTTTTTAAAAGAGCATCCACCGAATTAGAAGTGGATTTGATTTATGTTATTTGAACTGTTTGCATTTTCAGAACAGAACTGCTATGGTTGTCTATTTGGTCTAACACGCTATCGGGCTTACTATAAATTAGAACTACCCGTTTCCCATTGAAATGAAATGATAACGTCGCAAGTAATTTGCTTAATAGCGAGAAACTGTCGGCAGCTTCAAGAATGATAGTCAGCCAAACAAACACAATCCTACTATACCTATATCTATACCATGTAAAATTCCAAATACTGGAAATTAGCAACCTTACTTTCTAACAATAGTTGAGAATATTGTCCACTCAATGAATCATTCAGGCATGCATCGTTCAGAAAATCAAAGACACTTGAAACTTCCCTAGAAATATACATCGGTAACACTAGGAATTTTGAAAGAGCATGGTCATAAAGTTGTAACTGGACAAAAAACCTCAAGAGATTCAAGTCGTAAAATCAGATTAGACAGCAAAGAAGAGGCATTTAGCATTCTAATTATCTAAAAAACAAGGCTAGCTAATTCATAAAGACACAACATTCAACACTAGCAACAAACAAACTTGAGATGTCAATGGAAGCAAGCAAAAACTACATCTTGATTCATACAACCATCTAGTGTTTTCTCCTCTTAAGATGTGTATATAATAAAAACAAAGAGCCTTGACTCGGTACTAGAAGACTTATTTATCGATATTCAGGACTTATGCAACTGGAACTGGAACTGGAATCTCAATATTGGTTGTCAATACTGGAGGGACATACTCTTCTTCTTCCTTGGGAGGATGAATGGTGACAAGATCGGGCAATGGTGTCATTGGTCCTACCTTGCCCTTAGGATCCCAGTCAAGCATGATCTTGACCTTAATACCAAGCACACCCTAATACCAGAGGAACAAGACAATAAAAAACAAAATATGAGTCTTCAGAAAAATTAGCAAATCAAAGACTGCAGACAGGAGCAAATGCAGAAATGGGAAGCAACTAACCTGTCTTAAAAGAACATGCCTGACAGCAGAGTCAATATATTCATTGACAGGTTGACCAGAGGAGATCATATATCCATCCTTGAATTTCATAGACTTGGCACGCTGAGCTCTGAGCTTTCCACTAACAATAACCTACAGGCGTATTCAAGAAAATTAAACTTCCGACAGCAGAAAATGCGCTTGCAGAAAAAGAAATAAAAAAACACACAAGAAAAATCAATAAAAGGTGAACTGGTGTAAGGCATACCTCACATCCTTTTGCCCCACTCTCCATAATAAATCTCAAGACACCATAGCAAGCCCTGTGTGAAGAAGGTAAATATTCCACTTCTTAAAATCACAATGCTCAAAGGTCAAAGCATGCTTATATACAGAATTTCATTTTTAATTTACAAAAGAGCAAAATGCACCAAAAAAAAAAAGGACTAATATACTGTGAATAACAACTGTAGGATCAAGAACAAAAAAGTGCAAGTGCACATACAAACACCCAAAGAATATTAAATGATGTGAGGGTGGGGTGGGAAGATGTCAGATCTGGGAGAACATTCCCAAACTCCAAGTGCATAAAATAGGGGCACTAAAAGCCTGACAAACTCCAAAAGGCTTTTCTATAAGCATTGATATCAAATCCCGCCAGGTAAGCGAAGAGGAAGGAAAACAATGCTTAGTGGGCAGGCCCACAACAGCTATATGCAAATAGGAGTATGACCTTCTTATCCAACAAAAAAGATCTATTCAAACTAAGATCATAAGCTAATGCATAATGTGCACCCCAAAAGATAGTAGGTAAAGTCATCTTTACAAGTGAATCCCTCTCTTTTGGGATACAGTCTTCAAAAAGATATTTCTAATGACAATTGGCTTTGCTAATAGACAGAGATATTTCTACAATGGAATATCAAGGTACAAACCCGAACAAAGAAAGAAACTAAAACCGTTAGCTGAGGTACCATACCAATTCTGACAAAGAATATTTATGATATATAATAATCAAACAGAAATTAAATTGTTGGATACTTGTCCAAAATTTTTTCACAAAAAAGTATTTCAAAATTTTTCCAGTTTTAAAATTTTTTTCAATTGTTTAATCTTTTCAAGGGATTTATATAACCAACCCAACTAGTTCGAGATTATGACTTAGTTATTGTAACTCGCAATAAGCACAGTACAAATATATTAAGATCGCTAGACAAACGTGTAAAAATAGCAATGGCGCGTTATGCAATTCCAGTACCCATCCATTAGAAACCATGGAGGGGGCAAGGTAGGGAAAAAAAATTATAGGGACTAGAAGCCTATTGGTTATTGCCCATTTTATCATGTTTCTACATAGTATCATTAGATATGTATATACACACATGAAATTTTGAATGTTTTATCATTACAACTTTGAAGAATAACTAAATTTGCATTAAATAGTCCATTTTTAACATAACCTTATTATATTACAATTATAAAGTCAAAATCATGATAAAAAAATATATTTAATTTTAAAGTTGGGTAGAGTTGAAGCAGGGGCCATTGAAGGGATTAAACTCCAGGGCAGCGCAGGTTTTGCTGTTTCTATAAAATTAGATATGTACCATCCAAAGTTGAGTGCAAGGAATACAGACATTTTTCCTTGGATTCTGAAAAATAGATGGCATGACCAGATGTTGCCATCCTCAGACACGAGATGGTATTTGTAATAAACCTACTCGCTGTAAAGATGACACTTAATAGAACTTTGTAAAGAAAGCCCACAAAATAACTTGAAACAATAGAGCAAGGAAATGAATTTACCAACACAAAAAGCAGACTCAATCATCAGGCATGTAACGATTTACAAGGTAAACTAAGGTGGATTAAGGTGGCAACAAAAGCAAATAAAATACCATTAAATTGAATTTACCTATCTTGAAATTATAACATCAGTAAAATAATCTCATTAAAAGGAAAAACTACCACAGTAACATAAACCTCATACAGACAACAAAATCACATGTACTGCTATTTACAACATACCTCCGAACAGCAAGGCCTCCAAGGAGCTTGTATCTAAGAGATTCAGCCTGTGCAATAGCACAAAGACCCCTATTGTTGACTTTCTCAGCATACAGTTCCACACTGTTCTCTGGGAACTTGAATCGTTTCTGAACAACAGATGTAAGCTCCCTGATCCTTCTTCCTTTCTCACCTGATAAACAAGGAAGTCAAAAAAACTAACATACCCAATTGATTATTCCTAGACATCGACCATGAGTACAAGCGTAAAATTAGAAAGAGAGATGAGAAAAAAAAAGAATTGTTGAATATGCTATCTGGTGTTGATTCTTGATAAGTTATGTTAAATCTCAAACACATGATAACTCAAAATATTACATGATGGCTATAAAAAAACAATTCAAAAAAGGGATAACAAAAAATATTGTTCAGTTATATTGTTTTCAAATTACAGATAAGGATACCTAAACTGGTAAACAAAGGAGAAAAATCATCTCACAGCTTGGAGAACTTACCAAGAACATTCTGGGTACGAGTAGCCCTAATGATAATCTCAGTACGCATAGGAGTAACTCTAACTTCAACACCAGAGTAGCCATCCTCGGCCAGCTCTCTAGTCAGCACCTCATTTAGCTCTGCGTAGAAAACCCCATCTGCAACAAACTGAAACAAAAAAAAAACAAAAACGGAAACGCATCTCAATTCATCGATTGATTTCCAATCAATCAAACAACAGAACTTTTTCTTGTCCTACTAAAAGTAAATTAAATAACGAATGAGATTTTCTATTTCTAACATAAAGTAAATTAAATAACAATTGACACAAAGCTTTATCAAGTTTCAAGGTAAGCTTAGTTCTATTTCCGTTTCGAACAGATTTTCCTTCCTTTCCCTATCATTTCTCGATAATCAAACAAGATTGAGAGGGAAAAATGGAAAACAGTCGAGTTACCTTACGCTTCTTACTGATTTGGGCAGCCATGCTTTGGACAAATTAAGCAGTGAACTGGTTCGGCGCTTCGAGCTTGTTAGCACGCAAAAACCCTAACGTTTGTGAAGTTGTGGAGATGGTTGCGAGCTTCTATATAATAGGGCTAGATAAGTGATCCGATCTGATGGTTGATAATGTTGTTTTCATTTTGGACGGTCAGGATCATCGATGCATTAAGTAAATTATTTACTCGCTTTTACTTTGTGGGGCTTCTTTCGATTTTTTGACAAGTAAATATTAGTAGATTTTTTTTTATTATTATTTTGGGATACAAATATTCTCGCTTTGTATTTTGTTTTTGGAAAAAATATACTTGATATCTAAATTATATCTCTTTTCAAAAAAAAAAATCTAAATTATATCTTAATTAATATTTTTATCCCTCTAATTTTCAAAAATTACTATAATATTTTTAACTTTTCATTCCATTCAATAAGTAAGCTATTTACTATTAATTAGATTGACTTTTAAAAATTTTAATTTTTTGCTATAACTAAAAAATTTAATCCCTTCAAATTATAAAATTAAAAAATTAAAATCGCTTACCATTATAACTAATACTTTATTAATAATATCTTTAATATCAAGCAAACATAATTAAAATTACTTACTACCGACCAATACTTTATTGGTGATATTTTAACTAATTTTTAATATTAAGCAAACAAAGAATATGAATCGCTTGAAATTTATCCTGCGAGGCCTTAAATTTTCATGTTTCCCAAACTACTTACAATTATAAAAACAAATGAAGTCGTAACCAAAACACAAACAAATGAAGTCGTAAATATTCATTTTTTTGGCAATTCTAAATATAATGGCAAAAGAGTAAGAAAAAGGGCAAAATTAGCCAATGCAAGCCTTAATTTCTTGTCCTGCCATTGATTTGTCATTTGCAATATCTAATTCAGCATCATTCAACAGCAAGTAACATGGTTTTTACTTTATACACAACAGGATATAACAGTAGTAGTAGTTAAAACCATTGCTTTGTGTGGTTTTGATCAAGCTGGTTCAACCTGTTCTGAGCTATCAAATACTTGCATGGTTTGCCTCTGCTCGTAAGCAAATACTGAGTATGTGGATTTAAAATACACTGAATTTATTATCTCATTGCATTACAACAACCTGTAGTTTTCTGCAGCCATTCTTCCACCAGAGTCTAGAGAAGTACATCTTAATTCAGCAGGGAAATGAAAACTCACCCTCAAAATAGTAACTATTCCTAGAGTCACCATCAGAGAGAATTGGCCTTCTTACCCTTTATTCTCAGACTTCACTAAATCTTTTGCATCATCAATCAGAAGAAACTTTCAATTATGTTCTCTATGTCGGTTTGCAGAGGCAAACTCCATCTTTATCAAAGCTAAAAGTCTGAATGATATAAACAAACTAAGCTTGAATGAGTTATAGGAGTACGGCAGAGAGGGCACTCAGGCTTTTCATTACACCATTCCATTATGCAATTCCTATAAAATGAGACCATACTGAATTAGATGGGAAAAACCAGTTACCTCCTACAAACAAGAAGCAGAGTTTTGAAAAAAAAAAATTGAGAGAGATTAGGAGAGAACCAGCAGAAAACATGACCACAAGCTGTAGCAGTTGGGTACTGCCGATTACTCAAGCAGAGTGTGCATTTGCTCGCCCCACTTATCATGTTAGACTGATCAAACACAAAATGGTAGCAAAATTAGCACTGAGAAACTTTTTAAGTTAACAAAACAGACAGACATAACAGGAGAATAATATCCAGCACCAGTTGAAAATTGAAAATTTACCTCAGAAGTTGATGCAGAATCTGAGACCCAACCTCCTCTGCCAGCTTCCATAGGAATCAAACTACCTTCTTCATTTAAGACGGGCAATCCTCGTCCTATAAAACAAGAAAAGAGGACTTCTATTAATTTAGATTAGCAAAAGATTACATATCAAGAAATTAAAGATGCATCTTTTTTGGCTAGAGCACAGGTGTCACTAGCCCACTAGAATGGGCCTAATCTTGCTTGTGCTGCCTCAGGCCCTTAAGGGGGAAGTACTCCTAGCGGGGACTTTCTCAATATTAGAGATGTATCTTTGATGAAAGCTCCATGACATCTTAGGTTATTTCACCTATTATTGGCACTTAACTACAAAAACTAAGTTGTAACAGAAACAAGAACAATGTCCCTTTAGCGTCTTTTGTGGTTGTACCCTTCAGTTATCATGTCTCTCCTGCTTAACCATATACCATGACAATGGCAGAAAGGGTAACCAATATATGAGCAATTTCAGCTATCGAAATAATAGGTTTAATTTTATGCATATCAGGGAAGACATCTAATGGCCTTCCCCAATTCTTCCTCTGAAAATCTTCTCTAATGGAACTATAACAAATGCCTTAATATTTAGCACAAGATACAAAAGGGCAAAACATTGAGCTAGCAGCCAGAGTCATTATAAACTATACTATCAGGTCTCTTGTCAAATATGTTTGCCAACCTGCAGTTTGATGGGGCTCCAAGGAAGTTTGCTGAACTGAACTTGCAATAGAAGTTATATTGCTACGCCGCAGGCCTTCAGCAGCAATGATACATAGCTGAATTAGAAGAAATACTCCCAGTATTTGGTATCTGCAACAACAGCCAATTCGCAGATGCTAACGAGGATATCTCAAAGAAAATCATAATCAGCTGCAAATGACCACAAACGAAACAAGTCCATCTTATGTTTAGAATGAGGAAAAAAAAAACCTTGGCCTTTGATTTGATGGCTTTCCAATGAAAATATAACGAATGCCAGCTGCACGTTTTGATATATGGTAATATAGCCCTGCAGAACGAAAGATCATCATGAGGGACTTTTGTTTTATTCAATTATTCATTTAAAATCTTCAATGCAATATACAATCACTGACACATGGAATCACCTTCGAAATAGAAAAACATGAGGTTGGTGCGAAGAATCAATTGCAACACTTCACGGGCTATAGGGAGCATCTGAATGCAACAAAGATAAGAAATCTTAATTAAGCTTATGAGTTATACAAGGGGTTCATTGAACAATCGGTGTTCAAGCCACATAATTGTAATGCAAAAGCACCAAGAGCAAAACAAAGATATTGATCGAGGGTTTGTTCAAGCAAAGATTAAGAAAACAAATTACAACGGAGAAAAGAGAAAAATAAAAGAGTTCATTGCAAAATTACATATATATTACTGCAGGTGAAAAAACAAAAGAACATAATATCTGAGACTTGCATAAAAATACCGAGGGCCACAGGTGAACTACATGCAACCAGAGTCCATTGAACTTCTGCTTCAGCCTTGATAGGAAAGAAACCGACGCCCCTGATGTGGAGGAAGATGGAAGGTCAATCATTACAGAAGAATGAATCTGAGAGCTATCTGATGCAAAGTTGCTGTAGGGGTCATCAGCCAATGAATCGGCAAGAGTTATGCCACGTGAAGCAACTCTTGAGCTGCAGAAAAGAAAAACTCTGATAAAGCCTCACAACTATAAACAACATATAATAAAAGCTTTAGAAGTAAATATCCAAAGTTCAAACAAAGTAGAACAGGACGCAGTATTTAACCTAATTCTTTCTGCAATGTAAGGAACAGCAGTATGATATAAAATGAAAAGAGCACGCCTTGCAGGTGTTGGAGGTAGTCCATGTGACCCTGCAACCTAGTAGAACAATCATTAATATAAGCAAACAAATGTTAATAGAAAAGCACTAACCTTCCATTAATTACTCTTAAATTTTGCGGAACAAGATGCTAATATTTATAGGTCACGGATGGTATCCTGGTGAAGGAGCTTTCTTTTGTCATGCTATAATCAGTGTCAAACAGAAAATTCAGAAATATAAACTTCTACAAAAACAGGCTTATCTTTTATGATGATTTCCATTTTTGACTTGCAAACAATAATAAGCTAAAACGAATAGAAGTATAAAAACCTGATTAATGTCACAGTATTCTTCCCCAAGCGTTTGCTGCCCAGAACCTGTTGTTAATACATAATAAAGCATTTGTCCCAGCAGTTTCGTCTGCGAAAATGAATAACAACAGTACCAAATTCTAAGCTAATATCATCATCCGACTCATGAAAAAGGGTCTCTTCAACTGTAGATTATCAAAATCTGGATATTAACAACAAACCTCACTCTGATAAGCGACAGCAACTCTTGTACCTATACACGCGAAAGAAGAGGAATAAATTTCCAATAAATGAGAAAAAAACTAGTCGAACTGGAGGAGGTAAATGATAAAGAAGAAGGACCGAATAAATGGCGTAAAGCGTCGCGGCAGGCATCGTAAACGAAAGAGGCATATTGGTCGTCCTTTTCGGCAGCTCTCATGATCTCCGGCTGAGCCGCCGGAGGGAACCGCCGCGGTTCATTACTGCTGGAGGAGGAGGTAGTTGTGCCCGATTCTCCACTCGGTCCTGGGTCAATTTCGGAACTCAATTGTGCATTCCTTCCCATTGCCATATCCTTCAGCAGCTTGTCTTTCCCTTCTAAAACACATTAATTAGTTAACGACAAAGGTAATTGAGTCTCCGATGAGCGTGCATAGTCAGAGTCTCGCAGACTAGACGACGGCACTAAAACCTGATCCTTTCGAGTCAGTAAACCGACGTCTACGAGAAAGAAGCAAACTCCTTGTAGCCTATACCGCGAAGAAGGAGGAATAAATTTCGGGCAATAAATGAGAAAAAATACTAGTCGAACTGGAAGGAGGTAAATTGATAGAAGAGTAAGGAACCGGAATAAAGTGGGCGGTAAAAGCGTCGCGGGCAGGGCATGTAAAGCGAAGAGAGAGCATATTTTGGTCGTTCCTTTTCGGCAGCCGCTCTCATGAATCTCCGGCTGACCGCCGGAGGGACGGCGCCCGCGGGATGTGCATTACTGGCTGGATGGGAGGAGGTTTAGTTGTTGCGCCGATTCTCGCACCCTGGTCTTCAGCTTGGGTTTCGAATTTTTCGCGAACGGTTGACACTATATGGTTGGCATGTAGTTCCTTCCCATTGATGCCATATCTTTTCTCTTCGGCTTTTCTTACCAGATGATGGAAGCTAGTTGCTGTTGTAGCTTAGTCCCGATTAATCACACTATACAACACGCATTAATGGATTATGGTTTAACGACAAAGGTAATTGTGGTATAAGCTGGTGAAGTCTTTCAGCGATGAGGCGTGCATCGGTCAGGTAGTTAGTCCTTCGCAGATCTAGTTAGCGATTGGTCTACTAGAATAACTTCTTTTGATTTACCTGTTTTTTTTTGTTCAGTCAGTCAAGTGTACCTTTTGTTATTTCGCGTTGAGGAGCGCGGTCTACGAGAGTAAATTAAGTTAATAATGTTTATAACCACTCCTTTAAGCCGTACGTTGTGAAAGCACAAAAAATTGTCGTTTTGGAAGAAGGGCCCAAATAAAAAGATTCGGGCCGTTGGGCCAGGGGGATCGAACCCGGGTCACGCCGCGTGACAGGCGGGAAATACTTTACCACTATACTACACGCTTGGTAGATATGTTGTTGCAGCTTTAATTTTTGAGCTCAACTTAACAAATGAAATCAATATGTGGCATTACCACATAATGATGGCATTATCTGTTCTCAAGGTAACCCGGGCACGCCAAATAAAGCCGTTCAAAGCGCCTCGATCGCATAGTATTAACACAATAAGGGCCGTCAAACCAATACTTACCACTATACTACAACGACCTTGGTAGTATGTTGTTGCACTTTATTTTACTCAAACTTAACAAATAATAATATGTGGTTCCACATAATAGCTTATCTTTCTCAATGTAACCCGGGCACCCAAATAAAGCGTCAAACGCTCATCCATAGTATTAACACAATAAGGGCCGTCAAACCATGGCTGCGTCCTCCACCACAGCAACAGTGTACATTACCCGGCAAAGTTTTCCCATTCCAACCACAAAGAACGCCACCATATTCACAAATTCTGTCACTTTTGCAGCAAGACCACGAAAATTTGTTATTAGAAGTTCCAGCGATGGATCAACAGAAACAGCAGCGACGGTGGTAGAAGAATCAGAGACAGAGACTTCCATTGAAGCTCCAGAAGGACCTCCGTCTCTGATTTCTGCTCTTAATGTGGAAAGGGCTCTTCGAGGAATACGTAATTGTTTCTGACCAATTAATTAGTAGTTTACTCATGAATTTGCATTTGATGAGGTTTTGGTTTAGAATGCAGCGATTACAGACGTAGATTACTACGGAAGACTTGGGGTTCAAAGAGGATGTTCATACGAGCAGGTCTCAAACAATAAATTACATTGTTTTTATAGTTCAACATGTTTACTTAATTATTAAAAATGCTTCTTTATTGAACAGGTTACAGTTGCATACAAGAACAAGGTTGAAGAATTGCTGAATCAAGGACTAGATGAAGAAGAAGTCAGGGAGAAGATGGAACAACTAAAAGTACTACCTCAGCTCCATTCTCATTATTTTTCTTCCTTTTCAAAAAGAGATTTTATCAATTAGTAACTGTAATTTATGTAGGAAACGTACTCAATATTATCATCACCAGAAGAAAGGAGAATGTATGATTGGAGCTTAGGCAGGAGTGAGAATCCAGATAGATATGCGTGGCCTTTCGAAACTGACAAATCAAGAACTCCAACGGAGCCTCCTCCACCACAGGTTTCCATTGCTCTTTTATCTAAATATTTATTCATTCTCCTATCAGTCATGTTATTTGTGCACTGTCTCGCCATAGTAGTGTATCAGAATTCTCAACAATTGTTTCGTTATCAAGTCAAATTAAGAGTTTAAATTGGAAAACAATAACTATAAATTCCCTTCCTCTTACAAACGTAGACTTGTTTCTATGATGACTACAAATAGTTATGATTGTAAATTGATAAAGTGTTTTGAGATCAAGTGGACTCTTTCGACAGGAACCAGAAGACGTGGGACCTACAAGATTTGTTGGATACTTCGTGTTGGGATGGATAGTCCTGTCCTTGGCATTATCCATACTCCTCAATCGATAAGGTCTTTTAATTAATGTTCATATATTGCAATAGATAAATTCTTTCTTTTCCTTCATAATCATTTCCTTTTGAAGCTTTTATGCTTCAACGGATATCATGAACACTATCAATTATTATTATTATTATTATTATAAAAACAGGTAATTACTATTTAGTCCATAAGATTTGTTCAAACACACTATTACAGACTTTTAGTTTTCAAATTTTAATTATTTGATCCCTCAATTATCGTTCCATTATACTGTTAGGTCCAAGCGTTATTTTGTCTGTTAGCTGTTTTTAGCAACAGTAGCCAATTTGCCAAATTTTTTTATTTATTTTACAATTTTTAAATAAACTCAGGACGTTCTATTAAACTCATTTCGTCATGTTTAAAAATACTACTAATTATTATTCATGCTACACACTAATAAATTAAAATAGTAAAAATAAAAAATTGAAAAAACTAGTGTCTTTCATTAAAAAAAAAAAAAAAAAAAAAAAAAAAAAAAAAAAAAAAACAAAGCAGTTGATGTTTCTCTGTTTGAGTGAAAACAGGCATTTTCCAAAACAGTAATCAACATCTATCTTGATCTCAGGGGCTATGGGTTCTGATATTTCGCAAATTAAAGTGTTCCAACCAAGCGCTACGCAGATCAAAACGTGTTCCCAAAAATCGCTCGGGCAAAAGGGAAAAATCGCAATTACATGCTTCAGATGGGCAGTCCGCGATATGTTTAAAAAAAAAAAAAAAAAAAAAACAACAGTGATGTTCTCTTGTTTGAGTGGAAACTAGCATTTCCAAAACAGTAATAACATCTATCTTGACTCAGGCTATGGGTCTGATATTTGAAATTAAAGTGTTCAACCAACGCTCCAGATCAAAACGTCAAATCCTCGGGCAAAGGGAAAAAATCCATACAGCTTCAGATGGGCAGTCCCGAATATGTCTTAAGATAAGAAATTATTTATACAATATACACAATTTATTGTACTATATTTATCATATTAAACTCTAATTAATTTATAAGTATTTAAAAATACTTTGTAGTATATGTTATATGAAATATGTTTTTAATTGATTCAAAAATAAGCAAGAGCATGAGCTCAAAGTATCTCAGCCAGATTCTAGGTTGAAATGTCAATAGTCCTTAAATTTAAAACCCACTGGCTCAGACAGCCAAGCCCACTCCTATCACCATTCTTCCTCCCTGAGGTTTCATACTAAAGTCTTGTTGGGAATGAAGAAAATCATAAATATACCCAAGAAAAAATCCCGCAAGTATAATTCACTATTTTTCATGTGACAAAGTATTAATATCAATTATTAAAAGGGCAAGGGCATAAAAATATAGACAGACCAGACCTCCCCTAGGCAACTTTCACCATGTGGGGATAATGAAAGACGTACGCCAAGGTCAGAATTCATTGTTTAAAAATAAATGAAAGACATAATTCCATTTCCAATAATAACATTTTATTCTCTCTAAAATTTTACCTTTTCAAAACAAAGAAAATAAATTTATTTATTATAAATTCATTATATTATATCCAAACATACAAGTAGAAAATAACTATAAAAAAGAAATCGATAACATCTCACTACTTTCTTTCCTCTCCTTTTTAGCTTCATAAATCAAGGGAAAAAAAAATCATCATTTGTGATTGACCCTCAAAGTACGTTAAATAAGGTAGTAAGAAACCCCACCCCCCTTTAAACCATTAGGTTAAACCTAATGTGTTTTCTAGTACACCAAAAATACTTATATATTTAAGAAAATAAAAAAGTCAAAATTTAAATTGGATCTCCAATATTATAAAATAGGTAATTAACCACTAGATGATCAAACTAATAATTAAAAAAAAAAATCTAGAAATAAGAATATATCTAGTAATAGTTTAATTCAACAATTAAAAAATATCAATGAAAATAAAATTAGAAAAAGGTACAAAATGCACCTCTCGCAGTTCCACAAGAGCTAATCAACCCAATACGCAGGCTTTTTGATCTTTTTTTTTAAGCAAGTAACTGGGTTATGTAGCCAAAAAAACCCAAAAAAAATAAAAAGGGGGCAAATCAAACTTCTGACCTGGGATAGAATCATGGAAGTGGGCGACTTTCATGGAAGTCCATTTAAAGTAGATTTGGATATTGATTAAATGAGTTTAGGATAATATGATATCAAATAAATTACCCACCACGGGTTTGGGTTAGATGTGTTTAAAGATGCGGGTACTCTATACCACCAAAGCCCATTATAAAATTTAAAATTTCTTAAAATAGTAAATTATTAAGTGCATATTAACTTATTATTTAACTAAAACTAAAATAAACTAAATTCAAGCTCAAAGCTCCAAACCCTAATATCATCAAATACTAAAAAAATTAACTCATACTTTAAATCCCAAATAATTAGATTTCTTCCTCCCCACCCCCCTCTCTCTCTCTCTCTAAACCGTGGATACGTTCTATTCAATGGAAATCTGCTTAAAGAGCAGTTACAATAAAAGGAGGGGTATGAAACGAAAAAGATATTTTCATAATCTTCGTATTTTAAATCTCCAAATACCATACCTTTCTCTCACATTTAAAAAAAAAAAAAAAAAAATTCCTATTACCTGAAACAAATAATGATGATACACTTGTAAGGATAGGAGGAGAAAGAGTAAAGTTAAAAAAAATATAACTTTTTTTTTTTTTTTGAGTTTCACCTCTTCCGATTTGGGAACTTGCTATTATAAAAATACGTGCAGATATTTTTCAAGAGAGAAACCGAATTTAGCAATTATAAAAGTATTTAGTGAAAAATGTTTAGCAACTGTTGGATTTATCCAAGCTATAAGGACTTGGTAAAATGCAGTGTAAAGGTGTTTATTTAAGGGAAAAAGAAAAGAAAAGGAAACGCTATTTAAAAGAACAAAAACTTTGTGAAAGCCAAAGCATTTTTTTAAACCCATATGTGTCTCTCTTTTCACTGTTTTCAGGGAAATGGAAGAGTTTGGAGGGGTACATTCACCTTAAAGGGGGTGAATGTTTGCTCGCTCCAAATAGAACGAAGGGTTCCAACAGAGAACAAAAAATACGAAAGTAATTCCACAAGGGCTTGTGGTCATTACTATTATAGTTAGGTTGTAAAAGAATGGAAAAACATACCTTCACCAGCTCCAACACAACAGTGTCTGAAAAATCCAAACCCTAAATTAAATTAACAATTGCTCCTCCAGTCAAAACATTTGTTTGCAAGCCTCCCGGGTTGAAGCTAAAAAAAATGAACAGGGTTAGTAAGCAGATATTACACAAAAATAATTATCCCATGAAGCTACGTCCAAAAGCTGACCACTCAACTAGTATCTGTGTCAACAAAACCAACAGAAGAATTCAGATTAGATCAGAACAGGCCTATGTCAAGCCAAATAAATATTCTAACCCCCCATCACCTTACGCAATTAAAAGAGATGGTAAATCATGCTAGTAATTAACTCATACAAATTACCAAACAGGAAATGAAATGGTACCAGATGGATCCTCTAAGCTGAGATACGCAACTTCTTGTACACTTTTACCTCAAATTTCAGTCCTGTTGACACTTTTAGTAAAGTCTATTTTGTTTATAGTAATGATAGTCTTCTTCACTATCCTCATCTGATCCACTTATCATCTGCCACCTTTCATGACTCGGCTCATTGGACCTCGAATTGTGCCTAGAATGTCTTGAGCCGTGACTGGAATCTCTCTCCTTCAATTGTGTTTTGCGATCACCTGATAAGCTTGGTTCTAAACCAGATTCCGAATGGCTATGATGTTTCTTTTCATCTCTTTTGGCATCAGACTCTACTCTCTTCCTTTTAACATCACTTGATTTATTACTTCGACGGCGACTATGACTAGAATCACAACCGTCATGTTTCTTCGAGTGCCAGTGGTGGCGCTTTTGCAGCTCTTCACTGTGCCTGCTGGAGATACTTGGCATATCTTCTACTTCTGAACTCGATCTTTCTAGTTCATCTTCAAAATGATTAGAGTGCTGACATTTCCAACGTGGCCTTTCAGCAAACCTGTCCTTAGAGTGTCCTATGCTTTCGTCCCTATCATGGCGAGATTTGGTGCCATGAGACCTTTTTGCTTCGTTACAAGAATGCCTCTTGTTAAAACGGTTATCTTCATCATCATCATCAGAAAATTGTCCCCTGGTAAGCCAAAAGGCATCCATTAGAAATGAGGAAACTTAATACAGGTTTCAACAGGAAAATATCTAAACACGCTCAAATATGAAAAAGGAACAAGAGAGATTTATTTCCATAAGCCTCATATCCTAATGTAAAATATTTAATGAAATTTCTAGGACTTTAATATCATGAACAATATCAATAATCATCGAGCTATCTCAGCTTCTGACCTAACAGCCCACTGAAATCCAGAAAAATGAACAGAAGTGGAATGTATAGTGCATTTAGAGGGGCATAATATTAACAGATCATAAGCAGAATGTAAGAATAACTATCATCTGTTGATTTTGCTTGTTGCTTCACAAATCCTGATTTATTACCTTCCCAAATCCTTGTTTGAAAGCTTCTGTCTCTTCTCATAACCTTGAAGCTCCTCACAATCTGAATGGCCTAGACGCCATTCTGCACTGGGCCCTACTGGGGATGCCACACCTGTCATCCTTGTAAAACCACTGAAAGATGCCTTAGAGTCAATCATTATATGTACAACAATAGGGTAGAAGTTGGCACACTCACGGATGTATATCAATCAGAAGAAATATCATCAAATAACTAGAAACTTTGGCATACCTATAGGGAGCCATGCTGCCAAACATAGGAGCCATGAAAGTCGGAGCAGGAAAAGTTGAGGGTTGTACCATGGTCGCACTGAAGGGATTGCCATATGGGTTTATAAAGGGCCTGGTTTGAGAGAAGGGAGTCCCGTTCCAGTAAGGTGATAAATAACCAGGCATAGCTCCTGGAAATACAGGATTTCCTGATATCCACAAAAAAATTACATAATAAGCATGAGCTACTCACTAATTTTATAAATCAAACCTAAGAAATTTTATATATTCCAACTTCATCTATAGCAAAATATTGATTTTGGAAGAGTAAAAGTAATTGTTGAGCATTTGCAACTATTTCACTAGCGACAACATCTTTTTGAGGAAGCATGATGGGTTTCTCCTAACTAAGCTGATTTTGCCTAGAATTGCTCTATAAAGTTGCGCATTCAACATCATGCGTACAACACATCTACAATTCATATAAATCTAAATTCATCACAATGATGCATGAGCATACTAGATGTTAAATTCTGAACAGCTTTAAATGGAGATTATTTTACCAGTCTGAAGCATAGGACGTGTAGTTGATGCAGCTGGACAGTTTCTTATAAAATGATCTGGAGATCCACATAGGTAACAGGTACGGTCCCCCTGAGGTCAACAAGAGATTATTAGATTCCAAGATGGTTACACCAATTACTACGCACAGCATTCAGCATAAGAATGCAACAATGCAGCCAAAGTTTATTACCTTTCTGTACCTTCCTGTCTCCAAAAAACTCCTCTCAGGACCTAATAATTTAACTCGGATTATTCAAGGACAAGAGATAAAAAAAGTGATTTTTCTTCAGAAAGGAGAAAAAAAAAAAAAGGCCTGCTGCCAACAAGTGGTCACATGAAAAAGTAAAATCTACCTGTACTGTTGACCCATGATGCCCTTTCCTTCTTGATAGAGGACACAGCTGAAGTGACATAGAGAAGCAAAAAAATATTAGAAGGGAATAAGCAATGAAGATAGTAGAAGAAAGATCAGATTCACGCAGCATGAAACAACTTAAAGAATTCAGTTTAGGAGTAGTAAGTCTAATATAATACCACCTTCATGCATAGGCTGGTTTTCTCCCTGGAAATCGGCAACGAAGTCCTCAGGTCCTCTAGCCAAATCCACAAGTTGTCTAGAGCCAGGCTTTTCTGCATCTATTTGTTTTAACTTGCGTGAAAAAAATGATTTACCAACAACAGGTTTTGCAATAATTCGATTGGAACCCCTTCCAGTAGTACATGGAGAATGAGTAGATTCTCCTTCATTTTGATGAATACTTGCAGCACATGATGTTTCTTTCACTTGAATTCCTGATTCTCCATCTGATTTTAGATGATCAAACAATTATGCACCATTTTTACCACAGTTTCTCATAAAAGACTAGGATTTATGGGAAGTTGGAAGATTTAAGTAAATGCATGTGAAACTGAAATTTCCTACCTGGAGCATATCCAAAAGCATTATCTGAACTTTTGATTGGAAGTTGAGATTCAAGGAAATGTTTGATTGCTTGTCTAAGAGAAACATTTGGCAGCAGATTTTCTGCTCCATATTTGGTAGATAGACACTTGGGGCATCTTCCCTTCTCAATAAGCACCAAACCGATGCCTGCATCCAATTCCATATTAAATTGAACACTTCGTCAGAAACAAACAGGCAGCAATCTTAAGCGTAAAGGTGTCGAAACTTGAGTCATGCGATGGACATTTGAAAGTGTGGACAGTGTGCCTATATGTTGCCAACAGGCTCAAACAATTAACTTTAAATTATGAAAAAGCAGGTAGTTTGAAAATTGCATGAATTTTATACATCTGCATGCACTTAATTCAACCCAGGGGGAGAAGAAACAGGAAAAAAAACGAATTGAGAAAAAGATTTAAATGATGATTCATATTTAGGATCTCACAAGGCGAGCATTAGCTTACTATCACCATTCACAAAGGAAAAGAACTTACATTTCTCACAGAAACTATGCTGGCAACAAGGAATCATCACGGCCTCCTTGAAAAATGTGTCACAAAGTGAGCATTTCAGCTCAGCTGGCAAATCAACATTGTCTATGGATTGAGGATTGGCAGTAACCACCCTTCAAATGTCATAAAGCATTAACAAATTAGATTTTTAGATTGAGTAATGGCAAAGAAAGATAGGAATAACAGCCAATTCTTACTTCTCTGGTTTTGTGAATACATCAACAATAGGCTTGGATTTTATCTGAGATGAATCCTCATTGTCACCAATATTTAAAGGTCCTAACAAGAAACAACATCATAGTGAATATAAAGATGGACCCATTTTAACACATATAGAAATATAGAATGAAGCATATATACTTCCTGGATTCGCTTCACTGAGTTCACTTGCTTCAAGTTTCTGACATTCTACCGTAGGTGTTTCGAAACATCTGAATCAATGACTCAAAAACTAAACAACTAAAGAAAAAGCCAAATATAATAATGAAAGCAATCGATGACCAGTCCACCAAATGTGCCACATGATAACCATAAATCAAATTATGCACAAAATGAAGAAAACAGACATCAAATGTGTAATACCTTGGAACTCCATTATCTGTATCGTCCTTTGTGAAGTACAATTTCTTATCCACATCAAGATCAGAACCAGATGCAGTTGTCTCAGGAATTGGACACAATTCAACCCCAAAATCATCAAAGTTGTCAATTTCCACGTTCTGTAACAAAATGAAAGCCATTCAGATTTGGTTACAACAACAATTATCAACTTTACAAAAGTTCGACTATATAACAAATATAAATTATATAAAATAAGATGCATGTCAAAGAACCAGCAATGTCAGCCTGATGAAGTAGTTGCTGTATGATTAGGCAATTGTTTATATATGCATATGTGCTGAAGTAAGTCGACATTTTTTAGTCTTAAAGCCCCATCTCTACATTGTTATTTAGGAAATACTAATAGCCCCTCCGGAACAATGGAACTAGAAATGTAGAATTCTCATGTTTGGAATGGCATAACTTAAAAAATGAAATTCAATTTAATTTCATATTTTTATGCTTGAAATAAATCTAACATGGAATCATTACATATTTCCATGGACATAGAGAGTTTAACTTAGTGGACAACAAGCACAATCTCAAGGATTTGCTCAATTAACACAATGAAAGATAACATTGGCTACATACCACCGGCACAGAAGTCTTAACCACATTTGCTTCTTTAATCCTAAGATTCTCAAAAGATTCAATACGTGCCCTGTAAAGTAGCAATATCATATAAGATAAGGCACATGTCTTCTTTTAAGCTAGCATTTTGCAGGTGACAAATTATCCTCAAATTATAATAAACTTACATATCTGAACGCACTGATCCTGCAGGCACCCTCTTGATAATCACACTTGAACCACTTGGAAGTTCAAAATTTTCATCGTAATATTCTGCAAATAATCCAAAATTCATAACTACAGCCAACAATTTAAAATTAACACATACTATATATCATACTTTTGCAACACGTAATAAACAAGATTCGACAAATGCATGGTTAAAAATATAATAGAAGTCAATTATATTTGCAAGAAAATCGGAGGAAAGAAAAAACAAATCAAATAGCAATATTTCAAATATGCTCCATACAACTTTATTTGTATCTATCTCTACGAATCAAATCCAATTCCAATTCATGATTGTTCGTGGAAACAATCTATATTTTGAATTGACGCCACCAAAACCAATTCGAAGCCAGCAATTTCAAAGAAAACAAGATTAAGAAATATAGAGGTCCTGATTCAACTAGCATTTCATATTTGTGAAAACGAATCATGAAACATAAGGAGGAGGCAGACCTTGACCAGTTATGGCATCAGAGAAAACAAGATCAAAATCCTGGTTAATATGCAGGTGCTTGTCATGGACGATTTTTGCTTTGAGATCACCAACTGAAATTGAAGGTCGGCCTTCGATGTCAACCGAGTCGAAATTCAGCGAGCTCCTGAATCTGAACCGAATGGCCATGACTGAGTTGAGGGAGAAAGTCAAATCATCAAACTCTGTTAGTGAATCGAGGAGAGAAATAAGTTATGACTTGTTATTAGTACGAATTGAGGAAGTAAGTTTGGGTGCCTTCTGGGTGCGGATACGCAAATTATATGAAATCTATTCCCCAACAAACGGTGGAGTCCATCCGTCCGCTAGAGAGTCGCTCACGCGCTTTGAGCGTTTGGATTAGGTGCTAAACGACATCGCTTTATAGTTTTACCCTTAAAATTCTTAATAAAATAGTAATCATTAGTTTCCTAATTGAATAATATTCATCGTTGTATAGATATATTTTATGACTCATACTACAGAATTTAACTATTATTTTTCAATATTAATACTGTGATTTATTAATTTGATAAGTGAAATACATTTGATAAAAGTATTATTATTATTATTTGAAGTTGAAAAACAATTATAGTATTTTCGTACCATTCCACTCCTTTCTTTGATTTTAACTTTTAATTAAAATTATTGTTTTTTTAATTACAAATATTATTTTAATTGGCATATATTAATTTACAAAGATCGACTACACAACATACCATACTTAATTGGTATAATAATAAAAATAAATGATAATATATAAAATAGAATTTCACATGACATGATAATATTTCAATTCTTTCACAAAATTAAGTAACATAAAAAACGATGACACTAATATTAAAGTCTAAATACTGAATAATTTATTATCGAAGTAATAAGATGGGTTCGAAATTCAATGAATAATTTTTACAAATTTAATCATGTATTTATGAGAAGAATACTTATCCAAATGGACAAGTCTCAAAAAAAAAAAAAAAAAAAAAAAAAAAAAAAAAAAAAAAAAAAAAAAAAAAAAAAAAAAACGTGAAATATTAATGTTATAACTATCTCTAATACAATGGGGAAGCCATACACTAGAACTAAACTACTTAGTTAAACATCAATCAGAAAAACTTCCTTGTTCCGCGCGTATATAAGGCCCCTAATATGGAGAAGGGTCCAATACCAGAAGATTACGGGCCCATGGCCCATAAAGAATGTTATAGTAAAATGTCATTACAACTGTTTGCTATTTTGTGTTTCTTGCAGGCCCAGTCATCAATAATTAAATGTGTACTCAATAATAGCAAATTGGTAAAAATCTAAAATATACATAATTAACATTTTTAAATAATAATAATAATAATAATAATAATAATAATAATAATGGAGAGTTGAAAACCTCAATGCGTTATTTACTGTGATTGACTTGCAAGTGATGCCCATTTGTTTTCCTTCTCCATATGTTGAGCTTCTTCCGTTGCTATTCTATGATGATGGAGGTGTTGAGTGCGATGGGACTTCCATTCAGTTCCCTTTGCCGTAGGCTTTGAGCAAAGAATTTTGCGAAAAAAAAAAGTAATTAATCTGTTTTGGCTTTTTTCTTTTTGATCTTTGGTCCCCTTTTTGTACTTTAAAAATAACAATAATTATATTGACAGATTCACGATTGATTAAATCAACAGTAATCGACTGTATCCTCAAATTGATGATAATGAAAATATATATAAATAATATTATCACAAACTATTAATTAACTCAAACGACCATATATACAATATAATTTTATTATAATGTAATGTAATTTTATAATTAAAAAAAAATTAAAGTTACGTTAAATGATATATTATATCAACTATATTCCTAATGTAACACGTCATAAACCTTTCATTATTATTATTATTATTATTTCTGGGTTAGAGAAAGGAAGCAAAGTTCAAAACAAAAACTAGAAAAAGAAATGCCACTAAATGAATGTAGATTGCTCAAATGAATGGCTTCTTGGCTTTTACATGAAAGAGCTTTCATTATTAAATGAATACAGATTGCTTGCTAAATTTAGTAGTTGAGTGCATTAATAATTTAATACAGTACACACACCAAAAGGTATTGATTCAATAATTTAATAATTTTATTTTTACGTGACAGGTTCTAATTAAAAAAAATTTATCTGAATGCTGCTATTTTTTTTTTTTTTATAACCCTTGAGTCATAGAGCGTAAATATTTTTAGCTCTCACAAGAAAATACGTTTTTCAGAGACAAATTTATATTCTCACCCTTGCAGAGATTGAGATCGCTAACATCTCAACTAACACATTGTCGTTATCTGAATGCTACTTTTGATTGAATGTAAATATATGTATGTTAAAAAAAAAAAAGAAAAAAAAAAAAAAAATTGTTAAAAAAAAAAATAGAAAAAAAAAAAAAAAAGAGGAGGAGAAAGAAAAGTTGATTAGGCTAAGACATTATTTTGAAGTCATGGATTAATCCAAAAAAAAAAAAAAAAAAAAAAAAAAGAGGAGGAGAAAGAAAAGTTGGATTTAGCTAAGACATTATTTTGAAGTCATGATTAAATCCAGAATAATTTCGTAATATTAGTTTGTTTCTCGTTGAATTAGTTTGTTTCTCGTTGATTTTCTGTTTTGCTGTAATGAAAAATGAAAACACAGTCAAGGTCCATTGTACGCCTTAAATGAGTATTAATTACGTACAATTAATCATGTGTAAAGTCAATTCTCCCATGGACATTTAGGGACCACGAGCCGCCTGCTTTTCTGTAACATGATTGCTACGCTAGAAGAAAAACTTTATCTGCTAATCAAAAATTCAAATGTCATTATGACCGATATACAAAAAATAATCTTAAAAAATCATTAAAAACAAAAATTTGAGTGTTTGTTGCAATGATTTTTCTTTTTAACAAATTAAAAATAGATAATTGCTTTATAATTGTAATGGTCGGCTCAGCATTAAGTGATTATATTTCTCATTTCAATGATTAAAATTTGATTTATAGAGTGAATATCATAACATACTTTCTGAATGCATAAGTTGAGTGTTGAAGGATGATAATTAGACTGATAACAAAAGGGGATTAGTCTTCATTGACGCATAAAATAAAATTTGACTTTTTTTATTATTGTTATTTAAAAATTGTTTTTATTTTAATTTAAATAGAGGATGAACTGCTAAAAAGTCCTTGAGATTTTACTAAAATTTATACTTCTCCCTTATTATTTAGAGAAATTACTATGATGGCATCTGCAATGGTGCAATTGTAAAATTCTTGCAAAAACTGCAATTTTTGATATTAAATTTGTCGTAATACTTGACTATTTAGTTTTTCACATTTAATCCCTCGTTTAATGGTAATGTAACACTTTTTACTCCAAAAAATTAAGTAAATCTAAAATTATGGGTTGAAATAATTATTTAATTAAAATAGCGGAGACTAAATCATAATTAAAGTTAAATCTCTGGATGAAATAATAATCTACTCTTAAATGAAATTACTTCGTTAGCAAGATAGGTAGCGTGCTAAACTTTGATCGGTATCAATGTTTACTTTTTTTTTTTCACCATCCAATCAAAGCCGCCTCAAAGAATTGTACAACAATTGCTCATTCAATTTGAATTTTCGCAAGGCCGATTATTTATTTATGTTTCTCTAATTATTAAATTTTAAATTAATTAGTATTCCCCTCAAAAAAAAAAATGTTTTTTTCTCTTTTTTCTTTTTTCAAAATAGGTGTTGTTTTTATAATTTTAAAACTTTATTCTTCTTTTCTAATTTACCTTTATTTATTTAGTATTATAGTGAAAAATATTAATAAATAAAAAAGTAAAATAAATATGTATAATAAAAAATTGAAAAAAAAATTCTACAAGTGACATTTCTTATTATAACACAAAAAAAAAAAAATACATGTACCCAAAATAAAAATAATATGTTGAAGAATCTAATTAAGGAGGATAAGTGATAATTATTTATAATAATTGAGGGAATTTTATCACCCCTTTATATATGTTGGGCAGTGCTTCCCTTCCATTTCCTTTTCACCGTTAATTGTTCCTACATTTGGAATATTACGTTACAATTCTTTTTTTGGCTTTACTAATAATTTCTCATGCGCCGACACTGTTTTGGCTTTTCTGAACATAATAAATATATACTATTTTCTTCGCACATATCACCCTCAATGCAAGTTTCCAATTTCCCATCATGATATTTTTCTTAATATACTTTTCATATATTTTTTATTTTCTTCACTTAATTTTTAGAAAAGATTTCAATTTTCAACTCACTGCTCACACGTGGGATTGAACTTTTTAAGAAGTTGTCAGAAAAAAAGAAAAGGAAACAAGAACTTTGAATAATAAAAAAGAAACTTTTTTTTTTTTTTGATAATGATAAAAAAGAAACTTAATTTTCCTTAGGTTGAAATTAATTATTATTTCATTTCAATATTGAAGTTGCATTTTTTATTTTTTTTATATATACTGAAATTAATTTAATTAATAAGGAAAATGAATATTTATTCTCACTAACTCGAGTAAATCTTGTACTTTTCTTTCTTCTTTTTTGAAAGAGATTTTGAAAAAAAAAAGTAATAAGATTATCTTACATGCTAATTTTCATTTTTAAATATTGTATTAACTTATTTTTCAAATTTCGAGGTCAGACCATAAATAACAATTGTTCTCCCATTTATGAATTCTTTAATTTTGACATGGATAGTTGGTGTTTAATCGGATTAAGACAATGAACCTAATACAACACTCTTTCAATTCATAAAAAAACATATTATTGGTGAAAAAATATATAATAATCCGATTTTAAATTTTAAAATCCTAATTAATAGAGTGCGTCAATCCTTTTCAGTTGTGGTCGTGGGTTATGTTTGTAATTTGCAATCTAAGTAATTAAAAATGTCATTACCGTTGTGGAAAAAAACACTCGCCGCAAACCGAAACGTAAATATTTTGACATGTAAAGTACCAAAGAAAAAAATTTCATTACTGTAAAAACGCCTCCTTTTTTTTTAACTAGCATTAATACCCATGCTATGCATGGCTTTAATATATAATTTTTTATTAATTATAAATTTTCTTAATTATAAATATTATTAATGATTTTTTTATTATAATAATATATTGTGTAATTTTATTTGAATTTGTTGCTCTATTTGTCTAGAATATGTTTTTTTTTTCCCTTTTTTTTCTTTCTTGTTAAAGTATATTTAAGACAAATATTATATGCATTTTTAATATAAAACTCTAATTGTGATAAGTTTCAAAGCTATATTTAAAATTTTTTATATATTATTCAAATCATATTAAATTCAACTAATATTTTTTAAAAATTCACATAAATTCTACTAATTTAAACTATATCACAAATATCTCAACTTTTAAACTACTTAGTAAATTGCAATTTAAAAATTTAAAATAAAATAAAATAAAATGCATTATAGAACTCTCATAGTGAAAAACATATTCTAGCTATAGTTGTTTATATAGAACTCTTTCATAGGAAAAACATATTCTAGCTATAGTTGTTTAGAAATTAATAATTTAATATATATATATATATATATTAATATATATATATATATATATATATTATATATTATCATTCATCACATTTACTGAGCGATTTATTATGCAAAATATTCATTGAAATTAATTTTAAATGACTTGAATTGAAATTAAAACATTTAGATCTTTGTTTAATCAAATTTTTATTGTTAGTTTTTATTATTAATAATTTCAAATGATGATAAATATATTGATAATAAATAATCATTTATTAGGTACTGATTGTGATAATCATCTATGTAAATTAATTACAACTAATAGAAAATTAATAGACGCAATCCTATTTCATTCTATGCTTATATATTTGTGCTATGCATAGATAATTTAATAAATATTGATTTTTAATTAGATAATTTAATAAATATTGATTTTTAATTTTTAATTTAAATTTTTATATCTCAATTTTTATTAAATTAATTTGTAGATAAATAACTTTAGAATTTTCAATGTTTAAATTTAATTTAATAAATATAGTTAAAAATTTTATAAATTCTAAGTATGATAATAAACCAATTTTGAAAAATATATAATGTATAATATTAATATTAATATTACAAATAAACATTTTTATATAGTCAAATAAAGATTTATGATTTTGAAATGACAATTTTTGTGCTAATTGTTTATTTAATATTGTATTGAATTAAATGACTACTATTTCTTATTATATTATTGGTTATTATGCCTTAGTATTTATGCTTTGCATTTATTTTACAAATTAATTTCAATCAATAAAAATTAAAACAAAATAATTGATATGCCATAATTATAAATTTTTAAAACATTGAATCTTATGCGGCATAACTTAATTTTTCTAATCCTACATGACATTACAACTTTTTTAATCCTATATGACACTACATAGCACTTCTACTTAGCACTTTTTAGGGAAAAGATGTTTGTTATATATATATAGAAAAACACCTAACAATAACTTCTAGTATACAGTTTTAAAAGATTGTTTGGTTTATATATATAATATAATATACCTAAATATAAAATAACACAATAATAATTAATATATAATATATAATTGGATAATATATATATTAATATCATTACAGTAAACAACACTTCGAACTGCATATTGTTTATTATTAATTAAGGTATATGAGAAAATATTAGTCTATATTTTATATATGAGACCACTCAACTAATAAGTCAAATAATTAATTAATATTCTAAAAACAGTTACAAATTTCTATCAATTTATTATTCATTTCTCAATCAAAAAAACAATAATATTTTTAGTTGCACCAACTGAATTTAATTTATGATTGTAGATAAGGTATTGGAGAGTCTTCGTAGAGCACATGAAATCTCTTACTTAGTAGTAGTTAGAAAGGAAGAAAGTCGTGGCAGCAAATCGTAGGGGCTAAAGGATCTATGTTTAGATTTCTTTTTAGGATACCTCTTGGCCATGACTTTTGGTTTTTTTTTTTTTTTTTTTTTTTTTAAGGGGTATTGACTTGTCATTTTTTTTTTTTTTTCTTTTTTTTTTTAGTATTGACTTTTCATTTCAATAAAAAATCTCGAAATTGTGAAAAAATTCGTTTTAAGTAATAACTTTTTAAAAATTTTAAATATTTGATTTTTTTTTAAACTAGCATTATTTTGAATTCGAACTCATAGCATCACTAAAAATAATTTCATTGTTGTGTTTAAATTAAAGTTCATATTATTACAAGATAAGTAATTATTTATTTATCCACGATGAATGACTCAAGTGGCAAGACACCTTAAAATTTAATAGGTAATTCATGTAAATCAAATATTCAATTTGTGAAAAAACATTTAAATAAAGAGAAATATCATGAATTTTAGTGCCTATTTGGCTCATCAGTTCAACCACCGCACCGGTGAATACGAAAATAATTTTTAAAATCTAATTGCAAAAAAAAAAAAATATAAATACAAATCAACCACCGATGAATACGAAAAATCTACAAAACATAATTGACAAAATTAGCAGCCAATTAGAACTTCCATAAGCAATCTATGCCGATTAAAAAGCTATAAATGACGAAAACCCTCTCTTATTATTATTTTTTTTTTATTTTGAGGGAGCTCCCTTGGTCTTCTTTTAAAACTTACACGGAAATACTCGGGCCAAAAATAGAAATATCAACTAGTAGTAGGATAATACTAATTTTGAGATTAACTTGTATTTTAGATTCAAATTTTTTCGGGTAATTTAAATTCTTAACGCAACATGATACATATCCAACTGTCAATTACCTTCGAAGTCAATACTAATTATCAAACTTGTACTAAAACATTTTCTTTTTTGAAATCAAACTTGGACTAAAACTAAATTAACACATGGATATATAAATCTAGAAGGATATATTTATATGAAAAGAATCTCAAAAGCCGAAATATAATAATTTTCAACTTTTTAATTATTGAATAAGTATTTAATTAATTTAATTTTATAAATTAAAGTATAGAAAATTTCATAAATTAAAATATGTTAATAAATATAATTCGTAAAATTTTATTGAGAAAAGTACAATTATTGAATTTATGTAATTTTCGGTCCCATTCATCACGTGTTGTGTATCCGACTTGTATTGTAGCTTTGGGTCCATATAAAATGTAAGACTATCACGTGGCGATTTTATTAATCTGTCCTATATATATATATTTCAAATTTACAATGCAGTGCAACTGTGCAAAGCAACAAAAAAACTAAAAATTGTGGACCTGACACTCGCCATAAAGATGGGGTTGTACCCAAGTGATACTCACTGCTAGAAGTCAAATATAAAATCCTGAATTAGGACCGTCCGAATCCTTTGGAAGTGTTTCTGATGCGATGTCTACTACCTTAAACATATACTATATTATTTTTCTTTTTTTTGCCGATAAAAAAAACACACGAGCAATTCCTTAATTTGGTAAAATCTTACTTCACAAATAATTCATTAAATAAAATAATTCATAAATAAAATGAACACTTATTATTTATGCAGGCAACATGCAACAGCGGACCAGGGGTAGCCACCGTTCTCCCTAATTTTAACATTTTTTCTGCAATTCACCTTATAAAATAATGAAATTTTCAGTTTTATCCCTCTAAATTTTAATTTTTTTTTATTTTCATAACTATTTTTTCTGATTTCGCTCACTAGCCACGTGATTATTTTGATGTAAGGATTAAATTAATCTTGGAATTCAATACATTTTAACGAAACTTTTTCAAATTCAATTCAATAAATAGTATCAAATTGATTTTCATTTATTAGTTTCAATCTAGGTCCATTTTGGATTTGGACTTGGACACTGACATTTTCTTTCATCGTTGGAATCACGAAGTTTGAAATTTTCACTCCTTTTTTGCGTCCTATTACTACAAAACTATGGGCCGTCCACAACCCTACCATTTTTTACAAAATAAATTAAATAATTTGTTCATCTCATTTCATTTATATAATTTGATAAAATATATATTTTAAAAATTTAGTTAATAAAAATTATTTTATTTTTTTATTCTTAGCTCATTAAAATATTAATAAAAGATATTCATTTAATGAACAATTATAAAAATTATTATATAAAAAATAATTATTTAAATATATAAATTTAAAAACTTTATAAATTAATATAAAAAAAAATAATTATTTTAAATATATAAATTTAAAAAACTTTATATAATATTTAATGAACAATTATAAAAATTATTATATAAAAAATAATTATTTAAATATATAAATTTAAAAACTTTATAAATATTTTATAACATTCTAAAAAAGAATAATAAGTAAACAAAATAAAATAGATAAAATATATTTTATTTTTTCATGGTATCACGCACTCCATCACGGAGCTTTTTAGTTGCTCCATATTTTGGCCTTATCAATTATTACTTCAGTCATACCCTGTGGGTTAAAATAAGTATCTTTTAACAGTATGATTCCTTTTACAAGAACGAAAACGCACACGATAGGATAGCAGATAATACTTACCTAGACACAATGTATTTATAAATAAAATTAAAAATTTTTTAAAAATTGTTTCGATTTCATTATTTTTTTTTCAGGTGTACGGTTAAAAATATATTCTTTCAATAAAAAATTGTAATTTCATTGAATTGATTTGTAGGCCATACATCCGGTCTAGATATCCGCCTAATCTAATTCAAAGTTTAGTCATAGTTAAAATTCTTCGGTCTTCTTTATAGTTGTGTTTAGTGCATATGAACCTGAAAGCTCTTCTCACATGTCTAGCCTGTGTTAACAACTGAGCTACAACCAATAGATAATTTTATATTTTTATTTTATTGTGCAGTATTTCCAAATTTATACAAGGAAAGTACTGCGTAACGCTAATAATTAATGCAACTATATTGACAAACATTTTTTATTCTCCTATTGTTAACATTAATTACTATTGATATAAAATCTTCACGGCCATTCCTCAGAATCAAGCAAAAAGCCGAGAGAATCCAAGTCCAAATTGATATTATCATCGTCCCCAAGACAAACACTAGTGGTGGCCCACTCATCGTTTATTGTAGGCGGCCGCGGCTCCTCCTCCAAGCTAGGAAGAGACTGATAATGACTTAAAGAGTCATGCCCATAATTATTCATCACAAGCCCAACATCTTCATTATTATCACTTCCTTCAAACTGATCATGGCGGTCAATATTCATAAAATCTAAATCATAATTTTGAATATGCTCTTCATTGCTGCCACAGTACTGGATTAATTGCGATGGACAATCAAAATCTTGATTTTCCGGTGGTTGGTTTAGTGCTGTAGGGGTGGTGTTGTGAATTTCAGGCAACAGAGGTGGTGGAGATTGTAATGGAATGAAGACTTTGGTGCACCTATTAGCCTTCGTGTGAATAACTTGCGTTGGCTTTTGTGATTTCGACGGTTTAGTGCTACTATTGGGTTCAGTATAGGCTAGCATTTTCTTGGTAGAAGGAGTTTGTTTGAATTGTGGTGAATTAGATTGAGCATTTGCTTTCTTTCCCAGGGTAGTATTCCAATAGTTCTTGATTTCATTGTCTGTTCGCCCAGGTAGCCTTCCAGCAATTAGAGACCATCTGTAATAAGATGAATTATTTTAAATTTAGAACATAAGAATTTAAAAGTTTTGACTCAGTGATTCTGAAATGGATGGAAAAACAAAAAATACAAGAGAAGAAGAGAGAGAGTACCTGTTACCAAGAAGCTTATGGAGCCTAACAATGAGCTCTTCTTCGTCATGGGATATGTTACCTCTCTTGATGTCTGGTCTCAAATAATTTAGCCATCTAAGTCTGCAACTCTTGCCACATCTCTTCAGACCTGTATATTATATTTGTTAACTTATTACTGAATTCGGTAACCTAGCTAGCTAGTGTCTTGTATAATAACATTATAAAAGTTATAACTTCATTGTCTAAAAGAATTTCGGGTAAAAATGAAAAAGAAAAGAACTTTCTCAATTTTGGTAGTAGAAGTGAAGTATCGATCTACCAGCTCTTTTGGGGAGGTTTCTCCATTTGCCTTCTCCATGGGCTTTAATGTAAGACGTAAGAATTTTATCTTCCAAGGCTGTCCAGGCTCCTCTGTTCAGTCCTTCCTTGGAGCAACATGGACTCCTCCCCATTTCTCTCTTTCTCTCTGTCTCTGTTTTTTTACCGACATACACAGCCACAAGCAACTCATCATTCTTCCCTTTATATATACATAGCCCACTTGATGGTCTCCGCCAAATGATAAACTTAATTATTGTTTTTGGCTTCTCTCTTGTCATTTAGTCCAAGAAAATAAAATTATTACGTGAATTTCTTTAGTATGATAGGAAAATATCTAAAAAGAAAAAGAAATTATATTATATTTGAATTTTCTTTTGCTCGTCCTATGATATGGAAACATATGTACACATTATTTTTAAGACTATACTGTTCAGCAGCAGTATATGAATTCATTAATATAGACAGGTGGACAGAAATTTTCACATGTGTTTTTCATTTTCTTTTTTGTTATTATTTATTAATGTGAATATGCATCGTCGATCGTAAGCGAGAGAAATTTTAAGTTTGAGCGTGCGTGTTCCCTTAAAACAGTGTATTCTGATTGGTGGAAAATAAATGAAAAAGGACAAGTAAGATAAGTAATTTTTCTTTTCTTTATTTTGTCTGGGCATGAAAAATTGAAGAATACGAAACGAATTCACATACTATTTTATTTTCACTCAAATTTCAGAAAAATAATTGAAATTATAATTATACACTTATTGATTATGTTTATTTTTTAAAATGTCGACATTAAACTTATAATTTTATTTTACACCTGAGTGGTATAAAAGTTATTTATATTTTTTCTTTTAATTTCCTCTCACGCGTTTAATATTAATATCATAAAGTATTTTTTATATTTACTTTTCTCCCAAAATTTCTACCCAAACATGGTCGATAAATACAACATAGATGAACTTCACGTGATCGATGGTGCTTTCCAATAAAACTTAGATTTATACAGTAGATACAAGGTCTACGTCCATTGTCTTCAAAGTCAGAGGAGACAGTTTCTAATGCATGTAGCATATATTCAGTAACCGGTTTGAAATAAGTTCAATAATCGATTATTTTTGCATTAAAAGCGCATATAAATTTTTGATTTTATTTAAAAATCTATATACACTTTGCATATGCCAGTTATTTATTGTCTGGTTCAGTCATTTCAATAAAATATACTTCTTGAATATCAAATTTATATTTTCACCTTTACAGAGATAAAAGTCGTTTATCATCCCAATCAATACAGTCATTTTTTTATATATTTCAACTAATATATACTCGAATTTTGATTAGCAACAATAATAAGGTGATTGTACAGTACTGTATCTGGTTTCTAGAATCTTGCAGGTTCTACTGCATAGTTTATTTTAATCATTAATTTGGTTGCTCTACTGGCAGAGCGGTCCATGCGGTCCATGTGCTTGCTTATATACACCAACCTGGAAATAATATATTTATAAATTAGAATTGATGACACTCAGTTTCCCATTTGCCCACTCAGGATGCATCCTAGTTTTTTAGGTAAAAAGTTAGAATTTTATATATATATATAATCTTTTAATATTATTAAGAATTTAAGAATTTTTTCTTTCACTTTTGCTTCAATGTGACTACCTAACCTGTTTTTGATGGTTTAACCCCATCTTATTTGATATTTTTATTTTCTTTTCCTGTCTGTCGTTCAAATCTTCTATTGTTTCCTTTAAAAGAGCAAGGAGCCAAACTGTAAGAATTAGCTTAATTAATTAAAAACAATTGCTGGTCTCATTATTAGGATTTTTTAATTAAGTTTAATCAGACAATAGATTTTTACTTTTAAAAAAAAAATTACTGTAAATTTTTTTATTTATGAAAGTTTGATAGGCCGAAATAACAGTGCGAATTACACGACGGTTAATCATGTTTTAATTCACTAAATTTATGAAAGTTTTTCTGATTGAGAGGATTTTAATTGAAACCTTTCACTCCCTGCGTTCTTAGATAAAAGTGAGAAAATAAACCACACCATAAATCATTAGCAATTATAAAGAATTTTTTAAATCTTAATTTTCACAATCTATTGCAAATTCTAATTCAAATAATAAAATCATGTTCGTGTAACTTGATAAGAACAACAGAAAAAAAATGCCACATAAAAAAAAAAAAAAAATTCAGCTTAGAAACTCCAAATCTTGCATTTTAAAATTATGAGAAAGTTAATTATCAGTTATCATATAACCTAAAATTAGATTTTGCTATATCCACAAAATAATAAACAGAGTGTTTTGAGCTTTTATTTATTTTGTTCTATTCCAAATCTTGCATTTTAAAATTATGAGAAAGTTAATTATCAGTTATCATATAACCTAAAATTAGATTTTGCTATATCCACAAAATAATAAACAGAGTGTTTTGAGCTTTTATTTATTTTGTTCTATTTTTCTATTTCAGATGTTTTCGTTTGTGTTACTTGTTGTAGAAGTAAGAACATAATTGATATATGACGCAAGTGCATGGGTATTCATTAGAAATTAATGATCATGATCATGGTAGTAATGGAGTCTAATTAATTAATAATGCATTCTACATTTTTTTTTTAAAACAAAATTTCAAGATTGATGACATCTTGATTCTTGAAGGGTGAAGACTAACACATAATTATTTTAGGACGCAATTTTTTTCATATCACGTATCTTCTTTTTTCTTTTGACATGACGTTCTATGTCAATTTTAGTCAATTAATTCATATTAAAAATATTAAATTCAATACTATAATTACAAAAATAATTAAATAATATGAAACAAAAAAAAAAAAATCCATCTGAAGGAGGTGATTACATTATTTTTTTTGGGAAAAAATTATGATTCTCGATAATTATTTTTGATCATGCTATTCTCGATACATATAACAAACAATTAATTAATAACTTATATAAGATTGTAGTAGCCACAACCGTAGTACGTATAAATTGCAAATACATACATATATGAGCATTGTTTAAGACATTTATTAATAATTGTTATATATTTACTTATCTTTTATTAACATTAAATAATTTTTGAAAAAAATAAATTAATCAATTATTAAAATATATAGATAAATGAATAATAATTTTTAATTTTAATAGATAGATGTAGTTGTGATAAAAAAAAAAGAAGGAAACGAAAATAATATAGAAGGCATATAGTTTCCATCTCAACCTTTTCAAATAAAATTGGATTTTTCAAATCAATTTCTTCTTTTTTTCTCCAAAGAAATTCAATTTCATCTCTTTTCCCTTCATCACTATTTATATTATTAGTGTTTTTTTTTTACATTATTTATATTATTAGTGTTAGTATTTAACACGCAACTAAAATAATTATTTGATGAAGACTTTATTCAATAATATTAACAAAATTCAAATATGAATCCTTGGGTTAATTTAAGCTTCAGACGTCTTTTTCATTAAAGAAAATGATATTTGCAATTGAAGGCTTGAAAATTTCTTCATGTGCTGTTAAACCTCAGCTAACTTTCAAATCCCTTCCCTTTGGAACTTTTCCAGGAACCTCTATTCCAAGACTCGTAAGTAAGCTTGTACCAAATCTTCTCTCCACTATCACGTTTCAACTTAGTCTTCTTGCAACCAAACATATCAAATTTATTTATATAATAATTCTATATATGACTAACGGCCTTTATTTTTTGAAAATAAATCAAACCTTAATTTTATACACATTTACATGTATTATTGACCTACATTATCAAATTTTTTTAATTTTAAAAATATTTAACTTGGTTGGAAAATATTCAACCAATCGATGTATATTACTTACTTGCCATAACAAATAAAATGGAAATATATCATGATCGCCATTAATTCTATATATGACTAACGGCCTTTATTTTTTGAAAATAAATCAAACCTTAATTTTATACACATTTACATGTATTATTGACCTACATTATCAAATTTTAATTTAAAAATATTTAACTTGTTTGAAAATATTCAACCAATCGATGTATATTACTACTTGCATAACAAATAAAATGAAATATATATTGATGCCAATTAAGTGGCGGTCTGGTTTGGTCTTTTTACTTATGTGATGAGTGTGAGGTTTTGAGTTCGAGTACGAGAGCTATCCCATTAAAAATAATTATACTTATGTGAAATTTTATTTTTAATAGCAATCGATTATTAAAATTTTTATTAAACAATTATGAATTAACAACCGTCATAATTCATTGTTAGTTATTGATTATAGTTAGAAGCTCTATTGATTACTATCAATAATTAAATCAAACATTCTTTTAATATGTAATTTATTTTTATAAAATTAGAGAGTTGAATTTATACAATCTATAATATGTGATCACCTTATCATATTATTATTATTATTATTATTATTATTATTATAATTCTAGTTTGAATTTCAAATTCCAATAATTCATCTGTAATTAATTCTCACTCGCAATAATGAAGTAGTTTGGTGATAAGACCTTTTCTTTTCTTTTCTTTTTTTTTTTTATTTTTTTGTAAATTTAGTGATAAAAAAAATTATTTCTATATTTAGAAAAGTATTTTTTTGGTAAACAAATTTGGTTTTAGATGGAAAGTTAATGTGTTATGTGCTACTTGGACAGCAACATCACTTCTATTGAAATGTACGCTCAAACATCAAGCTACAGATTGACGGTCTAAACCACCAAAAAAACATTTCTGTTTTAATATAAAATCAAAAAAATCCAAATTTTCATATATAAAAACTAGAATTATAAGATTTTATAAGTAAATTATATTTTAATCCCTAATGAATAATCACATTCCATCAGTATCATATATAATTCATTATATTTGATTTTTTTATTAAAATAGAGAAATAAAATTTTGTTATATGAATTGACAAATTGAATTTTGTTTTATTTTTTTATACTATATTCAATATATTAATATTTTAAAATATACATTTCATATTAAATTTATTCCGAAAATCCACTCTAAATTAAAACTAAGTTTAAAATTTCAATTTAAATTGAAATATTTCAAATTGAATTTTTCTTTTCCAATTTGTTTATTATCAAAATATCAGGACTTTTAATTATATTTATTTCATGCATATTAATTAAATAATTTCATTATTTTGTCTTTGGGCTA